ATTTATGTGATACTATTGCATACTGGGTACGATTACATGAAGGTCTTAGCATGCCAGGCAGTTAAGGAGCTGGGTGAACGAAAGGCTACTTGCAAAGATAGCTGAATATAAGGCATATGGGTTACATCATTTCTAGGTGTCTTTCCCCCCTGAATGGGAGTGACAGTTCTGCTCAATCTACTTTTAGTGTTTTGCTTTTAAAATACACACATTTTAATTTTATTTTATTTATTTGTTTAATAGAATCTGTGTACCACTCAACAGCAAATAAAGTGATTCCCAAATTTTGCACCTGGACCACTTGAAAATTTCTGAAGGTCTTGGTGGACCAGTTAATGAATTTTTTTGCCTGTTGCAGTGAATTCTAAAGTGATATGCTAGCTGCTATATGATTTTAAATTGTATTTTTTATTTTTACTTATTTTATTTCTTAGCTTTTGGATTGTATTCAACAAATATTTCTCAGAGTAGACCTATTGAAGTTAATGGCCATCACTAACTTAGGGTCTTGTCAGCTTGCACAGAATTCTGCCAGGCCTGCCGAGCTACAGAATAGCACTAATGGAAATGAGAGAGCATGCTAGCACAATCCTAAATATATGGACCAATATATGGACATTCAAACTGTCTTTCAGAGAAACTTGCCTATCATTATTGATCTTCTCATTTAGAAACCTCTGAGAAGCTTACATGGAGCCTCCGGGTTCTTTGTAACATAGTTTTAAAATGCCACTATATGCCTTTGTTGTTATTTTGGTAAGATGAACCTATTCTGGGCTGACCTGCATGCCTGATTGTTGCTTGTTGTTTGCACAGCAGCTTTAACAAATCAAGCTATGTTGCACATGTGGCCTTTAAAGTTGCTACATCTTCAGAGCAATAGTGGACTTCTTTCTAAAAATGTAAGCATGGCAAGCAAGACAGTTCACAGATTTTTAAAGAATGTAATCTCAAGTTTTTGGACTTGACTGGCTTTGTTCTGGTCATTTCAGGATCACAAGATGCCCTTACACTGAGAACACAGGTCTATGTCATGCTTTTAGAGTATGGTCAGGGGAAATAATTGTCACCCCTTAATGATAGTCTGCAAGTATCTCTGGAAGAATCTTGCTTATGCTTAGTTCAGAGTTTCTCAAACCTTGAGTATTATCTCCTAAGGAGAGTCCATTGTTAACACCCCCAAGGAGAGCCCAACAGTGCTGAGCCCAACACACATATAAGTGCACACAGACACACACACAGCAGCAATGCGTAGCATAAATACCTAATTTATTGGGATGAGTTGACAGACATAGGATAGGAAGCTGAAGAAGAGTGGTACTGTGGTTTCCTGTTGAACTTGGTCTGGTGAAGCCTGGGTTCACATCCCTGGGTTCACATCAGACCTTGGGCCAGTCACTATCTGAGCCTAGCCTCTCTCACAGGGTTGTCATTATTAGAAAAAGTGGAGTGCCCCACACCCATTTATGAGGGCACCATTGCTTCAGCTCTGAGGAAAAACTCTGGTACTTCTCCTCTGCCTGCCCACTACATCACTGAACTTAGGGAGGACCTAACATGACCCTGAGGCTATGCGTTGCAGGGAAAGCTCAGCAGCACCGAGCAAGCTGTATTTCAGGGACACTTTTCTACTACTAATGACACTGAGCAACATCTGATAAAACTCCTCAGGGACCGGAATGTAGCTTTTAACACCAACTGAGCTAACAGTTAAAAAATAAGACAAAGGGCTGCATCCAATAGCCTCTGTCTGCTAGCAAACAGGCTCTTACACTAGTGGATGGGTGAGCTTTAATGTTGCACAACAGATAAATCCAGTGCAACAGTTGCACTTGTGGAAACTTGTTGTGCATCAGGTTGCACTGTCTGTTGTGCAACAAAGTTCTCGGCAATCTTCTTATGCATTCTCTTGTGTAGCAACATTTTGCTGGTGCCAAACATTTCACCAGCAGAGCATGCGTAGTGCTAACTGACTAAACATGACACTGGATACAACCCAAAGTTTTGTTTTTTAAAGTCATCACCAGTAAAATATCCTTGGTAATGAAAATATAGTGTAATAACTGGCTGCATTGCTTAGCCTTCTTCAACAAAACACTCAATGTGAATCATAGAATTGTAGAGTTGAAAGGACCCACTGACAATAATCTTTAGCCCGGTGTGGGGCTCAAACCCACCTCCCTGAGATTAAGAGTGTGACTCTTAATCTGTGCAGGATATTCTACTTGCAGTAGAATGCATGTAAGAAAGTTCAGAGCTTGCGAAAGCGATTATGGAGGGTGCTGGAGATGCTGCTATATAACCAAGAGCTCTGCATGCTTCTGCCTTCTTGCTACAGCTGCAAAGAAACAACGCTCTAGAAACTGCTGTTCCTCCTTTATGCTTTGGGGATAAAAATACATGCTAGATTCTGCCATCTCAAATTACTGATATTCCTTTTCATGCATGTTTATGCTTAATTGTGGGGATTGTTTTTGAGTGTTGCCCATAGGAAATTCCTTCATGAATTACAGATATCGGGGTGGGTGGGGGTGGGGAAGCCACTAGTTGTTTGGGGGGGAGGGTTGTGTGCTTGAACATAAATGCAATTCTGTATAATAACTAAATATGCCCTAATCTGAACTCTTAAGTAGAAATTAAATGATGGTCTTGAAGATGACCTGGAATAGAACTTTCTCACTGAAAGAGCTGTTTAATTTGGGACTCTTATTTTATCTCTTTATACTTCAATTCGTGAATCTTTAACTATGCTGTACCTATAGTACAGAACTGCATTGTTGTGTTGATGTCAAAAATGAGGTTCTGCTATTCTGTTCGGCCCCCCCCCCCAGCGCATTGCTTTAAAACAGCAAAATGTATTTTAAGCAAAACACTGCGGAGGAATGAATTGTGTATTAAGGAAACAGTATCCTTTCCCATACACACTGAGACCCATTTTGCCCATACACAAGTAACTGGCACCATTTGCTTTCCAACAAAACTCATGGCAAAAGGTATATATGTGAAATTTGGCTGTATTGTTTTGTACTGTGCTACATTTAGGAGGTCTTGGGACGCGGGTGGCCCTGTGGGTTAAACCACAGAGCCTAGGACTTGCCGATCAGAAGGTCAGTGGTTCAAATCCCCACAGGGTGATCGCCCGTTGCTCAGTCCCTGCTCCTGCCAACCTAGCAGTTTGAAAGCACGTCAAAGTGCAAGTAGATAAATAGGTACCGCTCCGGCGGGAAAGTAAACTGTGTTTCCGTGCGCTGCTCTGGTTCGCCAGAAGCGGCTTAGTCATGCTGGCCACATGACCCGGAAGCTGTACGCCTGCTCCCTCGGCCAATAAAGCGAGATGAGTGCCACAACCCCAGAGTCAGCCACAACTGGACCTAATGGTCAGGGGTCCATTTACCTTTGAAGAGACTTACCTTTTCCTCTCATATCTATCCAATCCTGCTGCTTCAGCACCAACACAGAGAGACATGTGCCCAGGAGCAAAAGTGGCCTTCAGCTGCAGATATTTTAGGGGGCAAAAAGCTATGCAGGTGTGCCTCTTTTAAACTTCCCCTCCAAACCACTTGCTGCTGTTTTGTTGGCAAACTGTCCCATCAGTGTTGGACAGACAGTTTACACAATATGGTGTACATATAGTGGCTGCATGTTGCAATGCAGAGCAGGATAAGCCCTGCTGGCCACACTCCTTGAAAAGGTAGAAGGGAGCAATTGGGCCTGAGCTTCATCAGGGTCTGGCTTTGAGTCAGAACTTCCTCTTTAAATCTGAATTTAAACTCACACAAGTGATACTGAAGTTGAACTCTTAGGCTCCAGATGTGTTGCAATCCCATCTTGTTAATGCAATAAAACAAAATCTGGACTTGATATTTTGCATGTTTTTAAATAATCCAGTACTATAATCAGCTGTTGAGGCATGGCAGAGTATTTGAAGCCAAACATATTTCTTCTAATTTCCATTTGGTTCTACAGTACGGCTATCTGCCTTTCACGTGATCTGTCATTATGGAAGTCGAAAGGGTTTGTGGACCGAAAGCTTTATTTAGGTTTAATGAAAACCAAAATGAAAAGACGGCTGGTTCCTTTATTGGTCCCCAACTGTTAAAAATCTACTCAAGTTACAAGTGATTTCAGTTTAACCAGAGTTAGCACCCTGAAGACAATTAGGGGGAAATCTGTTATTACAGTTGGATATGAAGGGATAGGGACGCGGGTGGCGCTGTGGGTAAAAGCCTCAGCGCCTAGGGCTTGCCGATCGAAAGGTCGGCAGTTCGAATCCCCGCGGCGGGGTGCGCTCCCGCTGCTCGGTCCCAGCGCCTGCCAACCTAGCAGTTCGAAAGCACCCCCGGGTGCAAGTAGATAAATAGGGACCGCTTACTAGCGGGAAGGTAAACGGCGTTTCTGTGTGCGGCTCTGGCTCGCCAGAGCAGCGATGTCACGCTGGCCACGTGACCCAGAAGTGTCTCTGGACAGCGCGGGCCCCCGGCCTCTTGAGTGAGATGGGCGCACAACCCCAGAGTCTGTCAAGACTGGCCCGTATGGGCAGGGGTACCTTTACCTTTTTATGAAGGGATACTGTCTCTTTAAAGGCAAAAAAAAACCACAACCCAACACTGTTCTGTAAGATGCTTTACATTTAGACTGCGGAATGGTGCATACCTTTGCTGCTGGAAGTGGGGGGAAACACTGTCCTATTCACTGTTTACTTGGAATTCTTTGATGGGTGAAATAAGAATAGCATAACATCATTCCTTTTTGTAACTTTCATAGAGAGTACATTGCAACATCTGTTTGCAGACGTCTCATAACAAGATAGTGACATAAGACATTTCTATTTTTAAACGTGTCCCAGTTTATTTTTTTTATTTCAGAAAAAAAGCTCTGAATGTTGAATGTGTGTAAGTCACCGGGAATGTAGCAAGTTGATAAAATCCAAGCCAAGTCCATCCTCCTTGCAGGGAAACACAAAAAGCTGGAATTGCTTTTTATGGACATTTGTTTTGCAGCTTTCTACATCTTAAGGCAGAGAATAGCCAGGATAAGGTGCCAGCCCAAAGGTTAGCTGAACATATTTCTCAAAATAATTTTGGCAAGATGGTGTTTTGGAGGCATGATCTCTAAAGTCATGCATGGAGCGCAAGAATGATATAATAACCCAACAGAAAATATGCATGTAATTACTTTGCTTATTATTTTAGGGTGATAGCAGAACTTCATGAATGTATTTAATGACTAATGTATATATATATATATATATATATATATATATATATATATATTTGCTTTCGTAGATTTTCACGGGTACAGGAATGCAGGTTTTGGTGTCCTCGGGTGTCTTCCCGTGTAAAAGTTGGGGTGTCTAGGCGACGTTTCGACGAGGTCTCACTCGTCATCTTCAGGCTGGTGCTTTCGGCTTCTTGTTACTGGAACAGAGCAGGATCTCAGTGTTTGAGTTCCTATAAATACTGTTGAGGGGGTGTGGTGTATAGCCTCCAATGTTCTGGGCAGAGAGGAAGTTCCCAGGCTAGTGTGCCTCAACAGTATTTATAGGAACTCAAACACTGAGATCCTGCTCTGTTCCAGTAACAAGAAGCCGAAAGCACCAGCCTGAAGATGACGAGTGAGACCTCGTCGAAACGTCGCCTAGACCAGTGTTTCCCAACCTTTTTTGGGCAAAGGCACACTTGTTTCATGAAAAAAATCTCGAGGCACACCACCATTACAGCCCCGTGACGTCAGCACGCAGCGTCACGCCGGGAGGGACATGAATTGCTAGCAAATTACATAATCACCTCCTTGAGGGCTGGCTCATCTTCTCCGAAGGCAGAACCCCATTAATTAACAGCACAGACTCACACCATAGCCAAGACGAGGGGGGAAAACCTCAGTCATGCACAGTCATGCACATGTGGGGGCTAAATGAGGACAAAGACCGGGCAGAGAGCAGGGTTCAAATCACCCCACCTGGCCAGGACAATCCCTGGGTGCTCCCTTGGGCCACTCGCCTGACCCACCTCGCAGGGCTGTTGTTGCGAGGATAACACGGGGAGAACCACGCGCGCCCAAGGGAGCTCCTTGGAGGAGAAAGCGGGCGATGAATGCAATGCACGAAATATATGAGAGGCGACCAGGTTTTGCAGGTGAGGGGCCCCCGCCAGCCTCCGCTTCCAACACCCGGCGCAACGACACCGAAGTTTCCCCCCGGGCTCGGCTCGGGGAGCAGCGCTGCTCCCCCCCGGCTCCCCTTCGCCCTCCCGGCTCTCTCTGCCGCCCACTGGGGACCCCCCTCACCTGCCAAGTCCGGAGCGCCGGTGGAAGTTGCATGCATGCATGCAGGGCGCCGCGTTGTCATTGCATTGCACTGCACTCCATGCAACGCCTGCACGCATGCATTGCCTTGCACACCCGCCAAGGGGTCTCCCTGCGGTCCGATGCGTCCCCTCCGGTGCGGATGCAGCATTGCAAAAATAAAAAAACCCCGACGCAGCCCTACCTGGGGGGCAGCCTCCGCCTCTGCCGCTCCGCCTCCGCGGGGATCCCCGGGCTCCATCCTGCCGCCCGATCTCCGGGGGGCGCAGGCAGGCTGCGCGGGGTCTGCCTGGAAGAGCCCCTGCCCGCCCGCCCGCCCGGCCGCCGCCGCTGCGCTCATTCCATGGCCGGGAGAAGAGCGCTTCAAACAAAATGCCCGGCCCGCCAGGCCACGCTGGGAAACGTAGTTCGTGCACCCCGCGCGGGCGCGGAGCCCAAGGGCGAGGGGACTACGGATCCCGGCAGCCCCCGCGCCGGGGACGGAGGGGGAGAGGCCGGGTGCAGGGATGGAGGGACGGGTGGGCGAGCGAGTGAGTGAGTGGCAGCCGCCAAGCCTTGGCCGAGAGCCAGGAAGGGCCTCCCCGGAGGAGGAGGAGGAGGAGGGAGGCGCAGAGTGGGAGGGAGGGAACCCCAGGGGTCATCTAGTGACGGCGCCCCAATCGAAAATTTGACTTTTTTAAAAAAAAAAATCTTTCAATTTTTTAATTTTTCCCGCGGCACACCAGGCAACATCTCGCGGCACACTAGTGTGCCGCGGAACAGTGGTTGGGAAACACTGGCCTAGACACCCCAACTTTTACACGGGAAGACACCCGAGGACACCAAAACCATATATATATATATATATATATATATATATATGCAGGTTTTGGTGTCCTCGGGTGTCTTCCCGTGTAAAAGTTGGGGTGTGGTGTATAGCTTCCAATGTTCTGGGCAGAGAGGAAGTTCCCAGGTTAGTGTGCCTTTTCTTCTTTTGTTCCTTAATTACTTGAGGGATATCTTGAGTGATTTCTTGAGTGATATCCTGAGTACCACTTAGGTGGGTCATTAGGTGTGGATTAGTTGCTAAAGCCTTCGTGTCTTGACCTCTTGAACTTTGTGAAGAGTTTTTCTGAGAAGATGGCTGTACTGCATTTAGTTGTGCTCTGGCTTGGCTTCGTGTATAGGGGCGAGCTGTGGTTTTGTGTCCTGTGCCAGCCAGATCTGTGTAGGGATTGCAGGGGGGTGCAGCATCCGGAGGTGCCACCATGGTTTGGCTACTGGATGGTGTCTGTAATTTATCTGTGGAGAGGGTCTGGGTTTGGGTCTGGTGTGGTTGATTGGTGATGGCGTTCTGTGTGCCTCTGGATCTGGTGTCGGTTTTTGTGGGGAGGGCTAATTTCCAGATGTCTGGCAGGCGGGATGTGTCGTCACGCTTGTTCATGTTGTGAGGGTGTTTCTCTATCTCGATGGCTTCCATGATTATTCTCTTGTGGTGATGTTCCATGTTAGAGAGCAATTTGGAATCTGCAAAATTAATTTCGTGTCCTGTTTCTTTCATGTGTTGGAAAAGAGAGGAAGTTTTTTCTTCTTTTTTGACGGCATTCTTGTGTTCTGCGATACGTGCATTTATTCGTCTGTTTGTTTGTCCAATGTACGTGGCTGGGCAGACTTTGCAGGGTATTTCATAGACCCCTTGGTTTTCCAACTGGATTTTATCCTTGGGGTTTCTGAGGATATTGGCTATTTTTTGGTTGGTGCAAAAGGCTGTTTTGATATTGTGTTTATGGAGGATTTTGCTAATTTTATCTGTAGTGCCCTTGATATAAGGAAGGAGGGCCATGCCATTGTTTTCTTCTGTGTCTTGGTTTTTGGGGGGTGTTTCTTTTTGACCTCGTCGAAACGTCGCCTAGACACCCCAACTTTTACACGGGAAGACACCCGAGGACACCAAAACCTGCATTCCTGTACCCGTGAAAATCTACGAAAGCAAATATCTCACCTCAAACTCTGTAACAAAATCCACCCTGCACTCTGGGACAAATGCAAACAACTAGCCGTCTGGAGAGCTGAAACTGAGACCTCACATAAGACAGACACACACACCAACAAACTCCACAAACTAGAGAAACGCCAGAAGCCCAGCCACCCTCCACAACAACCCATGAAACAAACAGTACATAACATATCAGACAGGATCCTCACCTCAACTGAAACCAAAGTACTCTCCAAAGGTTTCAACTTTTCAGTCGCCCCGAGACGCATCCCCACGGAAAACATCATATGCGGAGTCGAAGCTAGCCTAACCAAAATCAACCCAGATGAAGCCAATAAAATCAGACTTGAAGTCACCAACATCCTCTGCTCCAGCAAACCACCCAGAAGCAATTTACACAAAGAAGAACAGAAAGCACTCACCAACCTGAGGAAAGACAACAACATAATCATTCTCCCAGCAGACAAAGGTAATGCCACTGTTGTGATGAACACATCGGACTACCAAGCAAAACTATCAAATCTACTCCAAGACCCTACCTACCAACCTATAAAAACAGATCCCACCACCTATCTGGAAAAAACCACCAAATCCAAAATAAAAGCCTCTCCTATCAGTGAAGAAATCCAGCTAAGAATCATCCCCAGAGAAAAATCATCCAGATGCCCCAAACTCTACGGCCTCCCCAAGATACACAAAGAAGGAACACCACTCAGACCAATAGTCAGCTCCATAGGCTCACCTCTACAAAATCTCGCTAAATTTCTCGCTAAGCAACTTCAGCCCTATGCAGAATCCATCTCTTCACACGTTACAAACTCCTTCCAGTTCATAGAAACAATAAAGAAGCAAAACCTACATCCCAATGACCTACTTGTGAGCTTCGATGTTGTATCTCTCTTCACACAAGTGCCCATTAATGAAGCCTTGACAGCCATTCAAAACAAATACAATCCCCCCGAATACATCCTGGACCTGACCAACCACTGCCTAACCAACACGTACTTCATCCACAATGGACAAAGATACAAACAGATAGAAGGAGCACCTATGGGATCACCACTCTCACCGGTCATCGCAAACCTGTACATGGAACACTTTGAAACCAATGCTTTAGACAAGTCAGAACACAAACCCAAACTTTGGCTCAGATATGTTGACGACACCTTTGTAATTTGGCCACACGGGAAGGAAAAACTAGATAGCTTCCTCACACATCTCAACAGCCTACACCCCAAAATACAATTCACTATGGAAATAGAAGCCAACAACCAACTTCCCTTCCTTGACGTCCTAATCTACAAAAAACCTGATGGCTCCCTAGGACACACTATCTACCGGAAAAAAACACACACCAACCGCTACTTACATGCACAATCACACCACCACCCTGCACAAATAAACTCCGTAGCCAAGACTCTCATCTCCAGAACCAAACGCCTGGCTGACAAAGACCACTTGACAACTGAGTTACAGAATCTCTCCAATGTGTTAATCGCCAATGGATACCAGCAAAACAGGGTTACGAAGCTAATGCAAAAAGAAACACCCCCCAAAAACCAAGACACAGAAGAAAACAATGGCATGGCCCTCCTTCCTTATATCAAGGGCACTACAGATAAAATTAGCAAAATCCTCCATAAACACAATATCAAAACAGCCTTTTGCACCAACCAAAAAATAGCCAATATCCTCAGAAACCCCAAGGATAAAATCCAGTTGGAAAACCAAGGGGTCTATGAAATACCCTGCAAAGTCTGCCCAGCCACGTACATTGGACAAACAAACAGACGAATAAATGCACGTATCGCAGAACACAAGAATGCCGTCAAAAAAGAAGAAAAAACTTCCTCTCTTTTCCAACACATGAAAGAAACAGGACACGAAATTAATTTTGCAGATTCCAAATTGCTCTCTAACATGGAACATCACCACAAGAGAATAATCATGGAAGCCATCGAGATAGAGAAACACCCTCACAACATGAACAAGCGTGACGACACATCCCGCCTGCCAGACATCTGGAAATTAGCCCTCCCCACAAAAACCGACACCAGATCCAGAGGCACACAGAACGCCATCACCAATCAACCACACCAGACCCAAACCCAGACCCTCTCCACAGATAAATTACAGACACCATCCAGTAGCCAAACCATGGTGGCACCTCCGGATGCTGCACCCCCCTGCAATCCCTACACAGATCTGGCTGGCACAGGACACAAAACCACAGCTCGCCCCTATACACGAAGCCAAGCCAGAGCACAACTAATTGCAGTACAGCCATCTTCTCAGAAAAACTCTTCACAAAGTTCAAGAGGTCAAGACACGAAGGCTTTAGCAACTAATCCACACCTAATGACCCACCTAAGTGGTACTCAGGATATCACTCAAGAAATCACTCAAGATATCCCTCAAGTAATTAAGGAACAAAAGAAGAAAAGGCACACTAACCTGGGAACTTCCTCTCTGCCCAGAACATTGGAGGCTATACACCACACCCCCTCAACAGTATTTATAGGAACTCAAACACTGAGATCCTGCTCTGTTCCAGTAACAAGAAGCCGAAAGCACCAGCCTGAAGATGACGAGTGAGACCTCGTCGAAACGTCGCCTAGACACCCCAACTTTTACACGGGAAGACACCCGAGGACACCAAAACCTGCATTCCTATACCCGTGAAAATCTACGAAAGCATATATATATATATATATATATATATATATATATGACTTGATATTTAAATGATTAGGCTTTAAGCTCCAAATACTTTGTTTTATCCCTTTATGGATGCTATTAATATGTTTTGTAATATATTTACAATTTCTTAAAGAGGTCTAACTCGTTGTGACTTGAAACTGGTGTGAGTAGCACACACCCATACACATTTACCTGGGAGTGAGACCCCTTAAGTATAGCAAGACTTATTTCTTCTGAGTAAATATGCATAGAGTTGCTCATGCTGCCTTCTGGTTTTCTGGTGTCTCTTTTGCCTAGTCAGCTAGGCTTAGGGATGCGATTGTGCTTTCTGAGCAAGGTTGACGAATGTGAGATTTCCTCACATCTGTCAGTTTTAATGCAAGGCACAACAAGGGCTCCTGGACTGCTGCCATTTGACCAAATATTGGCAGAGAATGAGGATCAGATCTGCCCCAGAGCCTCCCAGCTCTTGTGGGGGGGAAATGGTGAACTCATCCAACATGGTGGCTTAATTTTTTGAAGCCAATTTCAGCCTCTGTTGCAGCATAAGATTTGGGAAATACTGCTTCAGACTTCGGTGTATGAGTAATTTGCACTGAACTTTCCTGGAGGTGTTCCAACATTATGTACCAGACAAAGGAATGTTTGTCATATATTATCTTGATGTGCAATATTGATTTACTGCTACATAAAATGTAAGTAGCTTAGCTGGTTAGGTACCTGGGACTTGATTTTTATTTTTTGGTAAAGCAACTATGTGCAGTATGAAAGCCATTTTCAAAAACAGTAGTAGCATGTTGTTTGCACTAGTTTTCTCATACACAATCCTAATAATAATGCCATAATATGGTGGGTGATTGGAACTCCAATACCTGTTTTATTTAAGATGGCCACAAGTTTAGTTCTCCAGTGCTTCTCCCCATTGCATATGGAAGCGTTTGTCCAACATTTGGCACTGTCATTCCAATATGAGAGAGAGAGAGAGAGAGCTGCTTAAAGATTAAAGGCCAGCTGCCCGCAATAAAGTTTTGGGAAAGCACATTAAAAGGTTGTAAATGTGCACATCAAACCATTACAATGGCTTTATAGTAAAATACGTTTCATGAATGAAGCATGTGTTTTAGAAACTTACCGTACATATTATTTTTTATTTGGATTAGGAAAACTTAAATTAATAGTACAACTAGGATAGTTATGTGTCCCTTAATCAGAAAGGGCAGTTTAATCATTAGGTTGCTTCCCCACCAATCCTGTACTCTAGAAATGTGATATTTTATGCACTAAATTTTCATAGAAAATTCAGGAAATGTCACTGCCAACCTATCAAGTTCCATGCTTTCAGTGTCATCCATACTAGATACATGAAGATACTTTTGACAAGAAAATGCATTTGCAGTGGCTGTCTAGAGAAGCTTTTAAGGGCTACTCTTCCTTTAATTGAAAGCTTCTTCCTTGCCTACAAATTATGAACCAACACTGGATCATGAGGCTATGTACTGGTATATATGGTGAAAGAGGGACCCAACATGTGTCCAGATACATCTAGTTAAGTTTTAATAGCAGGAAAAGTTCAAGCATGACATTCCGAAATATGCATAAAACATACACAATGCATGCATCTGTAGGATATATTTTAAAAATTTCTTTTAATAAATAACTATCACCTTATTATGGTATGAATGTATGGACTCATACACACTTAACTTGCAAGCCTATACATATCTGATAATGATAATAATTTTATTATTCATACCCCGCCCATCTGGCTGCGTTGCCCCAGCCACATCTGGGCATAAATCCCAATGCACTCAATGCAGCTTAGTTGTAGACATGCATAGGCCTATTATTTTGCTATATCCCTTTTTACTGGTTCTTCATAGTGTCATTGGAAGTTGTAGCGGACATGCAATACATTCCCTCAGCAATCCACATGTTATGTTTTGCATTTTAAATTAAATTGCTTAAAAGTGAGGCTAACCATTCCCCCCCCCTTGTTTGTGTGTATTTTAATGGAAGCATATTGGGCTGCAGGGGAGAGTTGTAGCAGAAAAGTGGTGAACAGGGAAGGATTAAGTACTGCTTCTTCCCATCACTTCTGTGCTCCAACTCTCTCCTTTACTCCTCACTGGCCCTAAACTATGGTTTAGCAAGGGTGAGGAAATCCAACTGCTTCCACCATCACCCTGCACTGCTGCTCCCCAAGTACCTGGAGCTATGCATTATGCACATTATGTGCAAACTTGGGCTCATGGCACATCCCCCAAACAAACCGCAACCTGTAGGCAAAGGACAAACTCGTGGATTGTTGGGAGTGACACAAACCACAAGCCCAGGTTCAAACCATGCCTTAGCTCAGGGTAGCATGGCAGCAACAGGCCCAGAGGAGGAGCAAACCAGCCAGTAAGACTCACTAAACCATGGTTTGGCATAGCATTTCATGTGAATAAGACCACTGTGTCAAATGCATTATAATCAAATAATGTTTGTGCACCTCAGTTCGACAAGAAGAGTGACAAGTCTGCTTACGTGTATTCACAGCTGTATGTCAGCCTGGATGTAAACATGGGGAATGCGTTGGACCAAACAAGTGCAAGTGTCATCCAGGATACACTGGGAAAACATGCAATCAAGGTAAGATTTATGTTATTTTAAGGAATGTGATATTGCTTCAAGGTATTGAAAAGAGCAATTGAAACTTGAACTAAATGTTCTGCAGCTAGTTCAAGTTTCAACTGCCCTTGGGTCAGCTGACATACTGCTGAATTTAGCAGGGCCAAGGCTGGTTCATATATTTGCAGCACTATTGGTGATGCCCAAGAAGAACTGGTGGAAAAATATCTATGGCGGTCATTTCCTGCCAGATGCAGTGTATGAATTGGAGTTTCTAGGTCTCCCTGAATGAAAAACACAGCACCAATCACCTACTTGAATTGAATTAGAGCTTCCACCCTTCTCAAAGACACCCACTTGGGAGTTGCTGTTACTGCATCCCAGCACAATCCATTTCATGAAAGTATTTAAAAAAGTTAAGCAAATAGTGCTTTTGTTGTTAGAGGTACAAGATTGGTTCCATTCCGAGATCAGCTGTAAAGCCTAAAACTTAAAATGCTGGTTTGATTTAGGTAACAAGGACCTTGCTTTTATGAAAGCAAGTCCCCATGCTAATTTGAAGTATAATAATAATAATAATAATAATAATAATAATAATAATAATAATTCCAGTTTCACTTTGTAATAGCAAACTACCCACAATGACCCCAATCATATTATAATGAAAAAGAACAGTGTTGTTTAAAATGGCCAGTATTGTCAACATATTGCACTATTTTTATTCACTTCTCCCCAAAGTATTATTTTATATAGTGCTGAGCACTGCCAGGTACTTAAGGAAGTCACAGCCACTCTCTCCAGCTAGCCTTGATAAAGCTTTCCTAAGCTCATTACAGAAAAGCAAACGAGTGTTTTAGAAAACCTGACAATCTGAGTAAGGTGGTGCTGTACAGAACTGTGTTCCCTGAGAGCTACTAATCCTCCGATGGCATAATGATTTCTAAATGCTTTTTAAAACTCATTTGTTTGGATATATTAATCCTTCCTTGACGGATTCATGGGGAATCTAAGCCCACCCTCCCTGTGACCTCATTTCCTCTGCTTCCTTCTTTTTCTCCATCTTACAGACACTTCGTTATATAAATTGTTTTACTTTTGGGAGAAATGTTGTTATGTATTGCTTTTATTCTAGAACTTCAGCTCTCAGAAGTGCCCGCCACAAAGATACTGTAGGTCCGCAGCAATTTAAAATATCAAAAACTGAGGCGCTGTTGTGAAACAAGCTCAACAGAGAGAAGAAAGCTCATGCTGATTTTAGATTATACACAGCATCCTGTTGACAAATCTGCTACTTAATCATAGGACTCCAATTCATTTCAATGAGCTTTCCAGTGAGATTTTAGAATCAGCTGATGTATGGGGTGAATAGAATAGAATCAGCTGATGTATGGGGTGAGGACTGTCCTTGTACTGATACTATTTGCATTTGTTAAAAACCTGCATGTTGAACACAAAGACACATTTACCTCCATGCCCAGTGGTTTTGATATGCTCTTCCTCTCATTGATTTCAACAGGAAACAATTAGAGCTTTGCAATAGGGCCCAGCACCCTAACTGACCAGATTAAGCTCTTCACTCCTCTAGCCCTGGCTGCAAAGAGTTGCCTATATTTTAAACAAACTGTACTTATGAGGCAGATCTGCAGATCACACGTCAAGCAGCCGGATGGGTGTAATTACTGTTGCTTTCTTTGGCATCCATTGCCTGGCTCTATTATAGGTCAATGTCATTTTGTAATATGAATGGCCTTTCCTGAATTGGAAACGTCTCCCCAAATTATTATCGCACCATCATCAAATAAAAGTTCTCCTGCTGGAAATGAGATCGGATGGAGTTGTCCAGCTCCAACCGGATGGTGTTGTCTGTGGCAATTTATTTTCAGTGTATTTATGATTGTCATAATCCCAAAAGGCTACAATTCCTGTGCATTCCCTTTATAACAGAGTTCTATATATGTGCAAATGTTTGTGTGTTAAAGACACTTAAGGGTCTTCTCATTAACAAGTGGAAGGCAATTCCTTTTCGTAAGGCAGGACATTTAACATTTATTTCCATTTCTTGCACACTAAACACAGAACTTTGAAATGAAATAATGATGTTTTTGTGATCAATTGCTTGCATTAATTAATTGCTTGCATACATGACTTCCAAATTCTTCTCCTTTCCCCAACTTAGCTGAGCTGAAGACATTAAAATTTCCCACTTCTCGCAGCTGATGCTGTGAGCAACTGGGCTGTGGATCCTGTGGTGGATCTGTAAAGTCCTAAGGCTAGAGGGTGTGCATTAGAACTGCTGCCTTAGGCTATAATCCTAGACACCTTTACCTGAAGTGAGGCCAGATGCATAGATGTTCTCATAGGATCGTACAGTAAATTGAGTGAGTAGCCAAAGTCCATTTAGAAAACGGAAAATCTACCATGTACTTTCTCAGTGACTTTCACATTTGTTTTTGCCATAACACCTTTGTATGGTAGCCATGTCTCCTACTTTGCAGAGGGCAGTCCTCTATTTGACTGGCCCATGTCTGGCTTAAAGATGGTCAGAAGAAGGGAGAGTGGGGGCCTTGAAGTTGCCCACCAGCCATTCACACCTGGAGAATAGACTAAGCAGGCACACAGGTTACCTGGTAACAGACTTCCCCACTATGAGACGTATTGGATTTCTACTTGATTTATAGTAATACTGTGGGAGATAGCTCAGTTGGTTAGAGCATGGTGCTGATAATACTAAGGTTGCAGGTTCAATCCCCACATGGGACTGAAGCTGCATATTTCTGCATTGCAGGGGGTTGAGACTAGATGATCCTTCCAATTCTACATTTCTATTGCATTCTATTTATAGTCTCGTTCCTTTTTTTATGGTGGTGATGATGACACATTTCCTCTTTTTATGACATTTAAGTGGTCACTTACATTTCATTTGAAATAATAATCTGAAATAGTCACAGTTCAAAGAATCAGCAGGACCTCGACAAATCTTACAGTAGAACTAGGAGGCAAACCTGTGGATCCATTTGTGCGCTGGCTAAGATAACAGACATGCGGAGTTTACTGGCCTGTGGTCACTAATTCTTCCCTGAAACAGCTTTCCCAGAGGGCAGGCCACTCAGCCACTAGCTAGTGTCATCTCTGCTTTTGGAATCGGCATAGGGGAAATGATTTTAAACTGTTGGGGAGGGATAGAATACTAGGTGGACAGAATCTGTATGTAAAGAAAGGGTAAAATAGCCATGAATATCTGCTGATTCTTCCCTGAAAGTAAGCACTTCCACCTCTGGGTTAGGAGGGAAGCATAAGTTACATGCAAAAGATTTTTCATGTGCAATCTGTAGTTTGCTTGGTGTTCAGTGTGAAGGTTCTTTTATGGGAGATGCCTAAAATTCTCCTGATCCAGAGCTCCATGCCTGCACATACAGGTATTTGATGGTATTTGCCATGTTGTTTTACTGGGTCTTGGTCTTTTGACTTCTGCTATGCCTTCTCCTCAACATGTGAAGCTGACCACCCATATGCAACCTCACACGACTGGCCCAGTGAACCACATTTTTTCAGCCCTCCAGATCATCATGCAACACATTTCCCGTGGAGGGGTGAGGACAATCCTTTACTTCAGGTGGTGCGTTCCTTCCACCTGCACGGCTTTAAACCCCCACCATGAAACCTCTTGCAAGTGTGCTGAAAGGACAATGAACTCATTTTGGCTGCCATGTGAAAGCCCAGCCTGCAATATAATTGGCATGCAAAGCGACTTTGCTTTGACACTTCCTTGAGGCTGCAATTCTCTCTCCTGGAAAGGCTTGACCTTAGACAATTCTCTCCATTTGCTCTCATAGTTCCCTTGCTACTCAGATCTTTTACGACACATGCTGCTTTTTCTAAGCTCTTTTTCAAACCAAGAAAACAGTCTGTTGCCATAGTTGTTATTTACATTTATTCATCACTTTTCACAAAGTCTCAAAGCAACTTACAAATCCATAAAATACCAAAGCACTAAAAACAAAATACAAGAAAACCCAAATCCTGCATTGGTTAAGGAAACAGTCTGATTGAAATAGGCCGAAGAATTTTATTTAATAATCATTAATATTGGGGTAGTTCTGACACAGATATTAATGTCTGGGTTAGCATGTTTAATGCATGTAAAACATAACATGTACTGTGGGAATGGCAGTGACACATGACCAATACAGGCAGCCTTGCAACTTATAGCGTTACATGCCATCCTGACATAGGCATTAATATCTGAGAAAGAGTGGCCATAGCTCAGTGGCAGAGCACATGTTCTGCATCCAGAATGACCCATGTTCAGTTACTGAATCTCCAGTTAGGAGCATTAAGTAGACATTAAGCTGCTGCCATATCTGAAGTCAAATCATTGATCCATCTTACTATTGCCTACACTGACTGGGAATGGCTCCTGAGGGTTTCAAACAGGAGTATTTCTGTCTGAGGTCTCTTCCTGAGCCACTCCCAGGCAGAGAAGACAGCACTGGGATGGATGGTTAAATAACTTGGCCTGGTATTAGAAGAACAGTCAAGAAGGCATTTTCTGCACACGCTGTAGAGGGAAGCAAGGAGCTGATGGAGCTCATCAACCTGGGAAGATAGCCCATCTAGGAGAAGGAAAACTCTGATCCTAAATCTCCACTGCCTTGTGGGATATCTTCAGGAGAGGAAAAGGGAAAGGAGTAAACTCTGCACAAATCTGGATTGGAGTCCCCAAGACGGATGGCATCTTGTACGCCTCTTTCTGGCAACTCCTGCAGCCAAGCTGGTGTCAGACGTATTGTTTTCCTTTCCTTTTGGACCAAATCAGAGAGGCTGAGGTGGGGTGGGGCTTGTTGCCTGGGCAGCCGAGGACCTATAAACACATTGCCCAGGCTTGCGCCCCCAGGGAGGTCATTTCAGTACAGTGGTACCTCGGGTTACATACGCTTCAGGTTACATACACTTCAGGTTACAGACTCCGCTAACCCAGAAATAGTACCGCGGGTTAAGGCCCCATTAGCTAAGGTGGTGCTTCAGGTTAAGAACAGTTTCAGGTTAAGAACCGACCTCCGGAATGAATTAAGTTCTTAACCGAGGTACCACTATACTGCTAAATCAGTGGTTTGACTTCACCCCCAGAGGCCCACTCCACTGTCCTTTGAGACAGCGCCAACAGCAACCAATTCTTAAAAGTTGCATCAAGCCACACAGATCCTTGCTCCCGATTGTTTGTGATGCTCACTGGCACAGTACAGTTTGAAGCTGACGATCAAAATCTGAACGCTCTTGAGCAGTGCTGTATTTTTGCTAGGGCTCCTTGGTGGTGGTTGCAAAAGGAGGGCTCCTGGGTGATGTTGCTCAAGCAGCTGCTTTTGTTGTTGGGAAAATTGTGCTCACACTTCAGTCCAGGATCACCTGTTGCTGACAAATTGTGACCATTGCCCTTCCCCCTGCAATTCACACTATATCATCTCCTCCTCTGTGGGGAAAGTCTTCTCAGTAGTGTCAAAGCCATTCATTGGATGGTACTTGAGATGTGACACAAGGTGTGACATGAATCTCTCCCTATGCTTTTTTTAAACAGCCCCAGGCTGTGTCCTCCATACACTTGTCACTTCCATACACTAGGAATCTGCAGAATTAATTGTGTGAAAAGAGGACACTGCTAGTTTTTTGTGGTGGGCCTTGGGCAAGAAGCTTCCTTTAGGGGACTCACCTCTCTGAGGGGGCTCTCTTCCTCCTCATTGTCATTGCTGTCAATTTGTCTTCCTCCTCATTGTCATTGCTGCCCAGGGTCCATCCGACCTTTGCATCCCCCTTGTCACTGCTTCCATGCTTAGAGACAGTAGGTGAACAGGTAGACACAGCAAAGAGTAAGAGCGGTAGGATTTGGCACCTCCAGGGCTTGGAGATGGGCACCCAGCAGGTTGTGGTTCTTTGTAGGTATCTGTTGATGCCAACCCCCAATGCTGACCCCAGATGCATGTCTAAAAGCAGCTTCAGACCAGTAATGAAATGTAGGGATGCAATTATATCCCCAAGATCAACTAATAATTCATTATTACATACAGCACACCACATTACTGTAGGAGGAGTCTCGCTTATCTCTTTGTAGCTCTCATGCAAATATAGCAGCGCACAAGTAGTTGTCTTTCTGGAGTAATTCATGTGTTCACATTAACTGTCTTTCTTCTTGCAATGTGATGTTCAAGCTTAGCAGCCTGTGCTTATATCTGAGACTGCTTTTGCAAAGTGCTGCAGCATCCAACCTGCTCTAAAAGCTTTTCAGTATGCAGCTTTGATGGTGACACTCTTCTTGCATTGTTGTTGTTGTTGTTGGTTCCCTACCCCCACCCCACGAGTGTGAATAGCATCATTGTCGAATTGTTCAACTTGGAATAATGAAGGGAAATCTCAGTGAGGAGTATAAGTGGGTTCATTAAAAAAACACCTCTTAACCCCCATTAGAAGTTTTGCGAAGAGCAAAGAAGCAAGGAGGGTTGTGATAGATGTTGTGAAAAGATTCTGCAAAGTCTTTGAAACTTTTCATCTTAGAAGATTCAGGCTGCTGGGTTATACTTCTTCCCCTCTTTTGCCCAGAGAGAAATTGTGCTAAGTGAAATGTTTGGAGAGCCTGTGAAATAAAAAATAGACAAAAGATAAAGTTTCCTGACCTTTTCAGCAAACGCAGCATGTGCGTGCCAATTTATTAAGAGTCTTGCATTTCTCTGACTCCAAGCTAAATGTTAATGTTAGCCTGAACCTGCTCAGTAATAAACAGTCCTCCCCTAAACATCGCAACATAAAACCATATGTAAAATGAGTTGTGAAGTGTAGTGGCTAAGAGAATGAGTTGTTTAAAAACCCAGGAAATTCCTGGCTAAACACTATTCTCCTCCATGAAAATGGATGGTCTTTTCTCTCTTTGTTGCTCTCTCTCTTTCTTTTAGCCTCGTACACACACACCCTCTTTGGCAGTTAGGGATAATCATAGTAATCTAATTTACAGGGATGTTGAAATGATTATTTGTTGACCTAGACAAAGCTAATATGTATATATTTCTCCAATGCAACATTTGTGAAATGATTTCACACACCAGGGAACCAGCAGACAACATGGTGCCCTATAGATGTGCTTGGACTTCCATCAGATCCAGCCAACACGACCATTGGTCAGGGCTGATAAAAGTTGAGAGTGCCACAGGGCACATGTCCCTCCTTAAAGTGTGTAGTTCCCTGACTCAGTCATGGTATATTATCCTTGCAGGGGCATGGTTGGAGAAAATAGTGGTTGCTCTCACTGCCCCACAGATGGAAACCATTTCCCTCTCAAGAAAAGAAGCTGTGCCATGGTTGAAGAAGTGCAGAATATCTTTTAAAACAGGGAAGGGAAACCTGATGTTTTTGGACTCCATCTCCCATCAGGCTGAGCCAGTATGGCCTCTGGTTAGAGTCTATGGTAGCTGATGTCCATCAACATTTGTGGCCACCCCACGCAACTATGCTCCAGGTGATGTATTTTTCAGATGTCCATTGCATTGATTCAGCATAACTGATATTCACAAGGCACATGGAAACAGTGGCATTTCCTAGCTAGTTCAAATGGAAGAGAAAACCACTGAGAGAAATATCACAGAGCAAAACCTGCTACACAGACATATTGAACGTGCTTCTGAAATGGTAAGAAATGTGCGAAAAGAACAACAAACTAGCCACAACAACCGTAAAAAGGGTTTTGATGACTTTTCTCTCACTTGCCTGTGTACTATGTGTTCTAAACAAGGCAGAGGGAAAGCTGTTACAAATATAACTTGAAAGTGTAAACCATTTCCCAGAAGAAGCTAAGGCTGCGGAAGGGAAGGAATCACACAATGTTTGTTTAGATTTAATGGAATTATAATGGAGACCCTTAATTAAGCCCCTTGTATTGCTTTTGGCCAGTGAATGGAAGACCAGTGGTGGGAAAACAAATGTGACCTTATACATCTTCCTAAAGTTTCTAGAATGTTTTGCAAGAAGTGGATCTCAAAACATTAAACAAAACTCTAGCACTGTAATAGATGCTCGCACTGTCTTGCTGATGAAGCAATCGAGTAAAGCCAGCAAAAATATTTTGTGCATATTTAATTAAAATTCAGCAACTTATAGATGCTTACTGGAACAAAGTATGAATACACTTCCCAGCAGAAACACTTAAAGTATGTGCACATTATTCTTAGACTATGCCACTAATAGCTAGCCAATATCATTACACTTGAGTACCAAAATATATTATGCCAGATGGTGTCAGATTCAAAGCTCAGTAGAATGATCCAAACAATACAACAGGTGGATTGGGATTTAGTTTTACTAAGCCACTGCATTATTTGGGAGAGAAAAAGATATGAACCTGCTCTATCTACTGGGTTTAGATTATGTTCTTCACTTAGTATCTGCTTTCTAACCTATAGAGTTTAGCTGAACTTGATTTTAAAGGAAATGGAGCAATTGAGTCATACGTGCCTATCTATAGCCAAATCTATCCTAGGACTGATAGAATGTCAGGCCTAAAAATATTCTGGCAAAAATTATGTTGCCCCTCTCCCTTCAGTCTGTTGGAGTGGGGTGGTGGAAGAGGGAGATAAAAAAGATGGAAGGTGTGGCAGAAAAGGAGAGAAAGAAAAGGGATGGTAGCTAGAGAGAGAGAGAGAGAGAGAGAGAGAGAGAGAGAGAGAGAGAGAAGGAAGGGGATGGCAGAAAAGAAGAGCAAATGGCAGAAAGAGTAAAGGGATAACTCCACACACTTTTGATTCTGGCCCCATCCCATGCTGACTTTGATTCACTGGCAGGTGGCCCTGACAGATTAGCCCTGTGGAAATGTGGCCCTTGACAGACAAAAGGTTGCCTGTCCCTGTTCTGAGGGATGCTGAACCATACACTCCATACTTACAACTCCTCCTCTCCCCAGCCAGCCAGCTTTAATAAAGATTATGATTTACACCAGCCCAGACCTTAGGAATCGTTTATACTGATGCGGGTTAAGTGTGGTGCCAACAAAAGCCTTGACTACGGCTACATAGGCAGGGATAATTGTTGTGGGATGGAAGTGGAGAGTGTGCAATGCCTCTGTTGTTATAGGATTAGAAGTTCTGCAAACAGACTGTCCTTCTGACTATATGTAGGTATGGGAATATATTGGAAGAGGCATTTTAGGATCAAGGCTGGTCTGGTTTTGAGAACCTTATGACTACCATCTCCTGCAATTCTAAAGATGCCAATATGCAATGGCTGCTCTGTTTTTGATTCCTCCCCTCTGTGCCCTTTTTAGATCTCAATGAGTGTGGTCTGAAACCAAGACCATGCAAACACCGGTGCATGAATACCTATGGCAGCTACAAGTGTTATTGTCTGAATGGATACATGCTTATGCCAGATGGATCATGTTCTAGTAAGTCAAGACCCTTCTGCTTAGGGTTTTTTATTATTGATTAAAGAAAACCTTGCCATGAGTAAAGGATGAACGGTCTGCTAAAGTGGAAAAGCAAACAATAAAAATGGAATAATTCATCCTATTATTTTTATTATTGCAAGATAAATGGGATGGACAGAGCAGTTTCTTTGCAACCCATGTTTATCGATAAATCTGTTCTGTCCTGTTTCAAAAAATAATCACATGAAAAATATAAATTAGTGTTTGAATGTGTGTGTGTGTGTGTGTGTGTGTGTGTGTGTATAAAAATATGGGGTTGTATCCAATGTCAGTCATAAGCGGAGTAGACCAACAGTAATTAAATGACATACCTAGCTTAGGTCCTTTAATTTCAATGACCCTACTCACAGTAGAACTTAGTTACCGGTATATACAACCCATGTACTTTGTCATGAGCTGTATGTAACTAAGTTCTACTGTATTTCATCAACGCATGCATTTCAAAATATATTTTATCTTAAAATCTACATTCTTGATGCATTTTGGTTTGGGTTTTTTGAGCCAAGAACTGAAAGGCAATATTTGGAGTAGTAGGAAGGACAATTACTATAGCTTCCAATTCACACATTTGTCTGGGTGGTGTGGATCAGGTCAATTAATTTTGGAGTACGCAGAAATTGAATTTCTACGAGATACACAAGCACAGCCTCTCTTTTACTCACAATCAGCTCATTTGGGAATGTTGTTCTCAGCGAGAGCTGCAACATACCTGGCTGCGTGTTACTGTACAATGTAAACGCAACTCACTAAAACTGTCAGGTGCCTGCTGGTTTCTGTGTTTGGAAACCGTAGTACAAAACTCCCCAGTGGCCAGGTTCTTCCTTCCTCTTACAAAAGCGAATATTTTGAATACTTCACCACACCAAGAATGGGAGAGGGAATGACGGAACCTTCCCTACAGCCGAGAGATTAGATTTTAGAAGGAGGGTTTCAGATAAAAGCATACCAGCTTCTCCTAAGAATGGAAATTGCTTTTCATTAGTCAGTTCACTGAAAGATCCATTCTGCAAAAACCCAGCGGCCAACCTCTTGAGTAACTTCAAGGTACAGAAAGTCATAGGGTGGTTACAGATATTGCCATTCTGTCACATGTTTTCCCCATATCAGTACCTGGGACTGTTTGACAGAAGGATACAGACAATTAAAATCACCACAGGATAGGGTGGTCATTTGAATAATGGACTCCCTCTATACTGGAGCTTTGCTGTACAACAGCCATCTCCAACTGGGTACCCTGTAGTTGTTTTAGACTACAACTCCCATCAGTGCCTTCTAGCTTGGCCAGAAGTCAAGAATGATGGCAGTCTTAGTCCAGCAACACCTGGAGGTTCACCAGATTGAGGATGGTTCCTGCACTAAGTAGGTGAGATCAAACAAAACATGTTTTGTTCTCCAAGAAGCCCTGCCTTTCATGTGCAATTTTATATTGAAATGCCTTGATAAAATGGAACATAGGAAGCTGCATGTCAAACCATTGGTCTATCTAACTAAATACTGTCTACACTGACTGGCAGAAGCTCTCCAGGGTTCCAGGCAGGCAATCTCTCACCTTCTTACCTGGAGATGCCAGGGATTAAACCTGGGACCTTCTGCAAGCAAGTCAAATGCTCTACCACTGAGCTATGCTTCCTTTCCCCAATCTCACAAAGCCTCTGAAATGTTGTTGTTGATAACAAATAATTTCATTTGTACGATGTTCCCACAGATGCTCTCTCATGTTCAATGGCAAACTGTCAGTACGGCTGTGATGTTGTGAAAGGGGAGGTGCGGTGCCGTTGTCCTTCCCCAGGCTTGCAACTAGCTCCTGATGGTAGAACTTGTGTAGGTAAGTCAAAAGTTGTAAGCATGTTATTTCTCCTTTTCATGCACACTGGGAAATTCTGGGCAGCAGTGGTTGTTGTTGCCCATTGGCACTGGTGGGTGGGAGGCAAGACATCTAGCTTTACATGGAGCTACATCAGATGGCTGTATGGCTGAAAAACACACACACACACACACACACACACGGTTGACCACACTGCTTTATGGAAGTGAGTCGTGAGCAACTTACACTCACCAGGAACGATGCCTCGATGCCTTCCACATGTGCTACATTGGAAGATTTGGGGGATACCATAGCAGAACAGAGCCTCAAACAAAAATGTGCTCGCCCAAGCTCATATTCCCAGCATCTTCACACTCCTGTCTCAGCGACATCTACACTGGCTTGGTCATGTCCACAGAAGAGAAGCTGGCAGGATCCCCAAGGATGTGCTCCATGTGGAGCTGGCTTCAGGCACCAGGTCCCTTGGCAGACCAACTCTGCATTACAAAGAAGTCCGCAAATGTGACATGATAGCTGACAACACGTGTATAGCTGACACCCTTGCGGATGACCACAGTGCCTGGAGACAGTCAGGTCATGTATCCACAGCAGTGACCAGAGGAGGAATGATCACTGGGAGGAGTGCAGAGGGGGGGGATGCCATGGTACATGCCATCATCTGCCCCAGCTGCAACAAAACATGTCTCTCCCGTATTGGTCTCTACAGCCACAGCAGGCACTGTAACTCTCCAATGGTTTGACTTCACCCCTGAAGGTACACTCTTTCATTATCTCCTGAGACAGACGGATGCCAGCAGCAAAATGCACACACACCCTAATAGCACATGCTTAAAACTGCCCATATTTCCCTGAGGCAGTCTCTATATTTTGTTGCCTATCCTTTCTGCGTGTGTACTTGAAAGTTACTCGCACTGTGATCAAGGAAGTTTACTCCTAAGTGCAGCCTTCGCCAACTTATTTTTTCCTGATAAACTAACAAGAGCAGAGCTAATTAAAAAGCTGGCAATCCTGCTGCCGCTTTGTCATCTACAAAGACGACTTGGGTTATATGTTGCAGGGGAGAAGCACAGGAGCTGACACTTTGATCAGGCTGGATACAGCTAAACTAGGGGTGGGTACCATGCGTCTCTCTAGATGTTGCTATCCTATAAGCTCTCAATCTTGGCCATGCTGGCTCTGGGGCTGATGGAAGTTGGAGTCCAGCAACATCTGGAGGGCACGAAACTATACATGGGTGTTTTGTGTGAGCTCGCCCAGTGACTTTTAAGTAAAATTAAAGGCAATATCTAATAGTGAATGAACTGATGCACATCAGCACTGGGGGGAAAGGGAAAGGTCAAAGTCTCAGAGTGGAGTTTTGAAAATACTGCCTGACACATTTTAAGAATGATCTTCTCAGGAGCAAAGGGTCACTGTATTTCTTACCCTGGTACGTCGGCAGAAACAATTCACTCAGGAAATATTTTTGTGAAAGAACATTTTCATGACTGAAGGAATGTTCCCCGAGTGAGTTTATTCAACTGGTTGAGCAGAGTAATATATATGAAGACCTTTTGCCCCAGGATTGATCGTTCTTGAAATGTGTCGGACAACTTTCAGACTATAACAAACCACCTATTTTAAGCATGTGTCTGAGGCTTTGCATCTTTCCCTTACTGCCCTCCAACAAAAACTGTTGCTAATGCACCTCAAGTTTCTCCTACAATCAGTACTTCACCAAAAATCACATGGGTAACTGTATACTATGCTAAAATCTATTCGATTGGGAAACAAAACTGAACCGTGTTACTCCTATATCCAGTTTTACATACGCTTTAAAGCTCTGTGTCTAAGCTTGGTAGGGTTTTTTTTTTTTTGTTCTGGTGTTTTCCTGGGCAGACCTGCATCTTACTGCTGAATTGGAGCAAACAACAATCTGCAAAAAAAAATCTGGTTTTAACGCAGTATAATGTGGATTTCCCCAGGGAAAGCTCTGGGACAATAAAACTCCAGCACTCAGACATGGAACTTTAAGGTCCAGTCCTGTACCTAGAACTGTGGCACAAAAGGAAGTCTTGTGTGTGACCTGAGTTTGGGAGGGGAGAGCCTTGGAGAAATGGGTGGGGAGAGACAGAAAAGTTGAGCATGGATATGCCTTAAAAACAAAATTGTATTTTCTGTGAGGCAGTATAAAACACAAAGCTGGAGCAGAAGGTAATTTCCAAAAAGTATTTTTGACCTTCTGGTTTTGTTGCATGAACATACTTTTGGATGTGCTATGATTAAGCCTTTTGGTGAAATTAATGGATTTCTACTTGTAGATGTGGATGAATGTGCCACTGGGAGAGTTACCTGTCCTCGATTCAGGAAGTGCGTCAATACCTTTGGAAGCTATATTTGCAAGTGCCATAAAGGATTTGATTTGATGTACATTGGAGGCAAATACCAGTGCTACGGTAATGAAATGAGCTGATCACAAAAGCATTCTTAGAACTGTGTGCAAAATATAATCTTACTCCAAATCTACCTACAGTATTTATTACAGGAGGCATAGGCAGTCTTCCCTTCTGTGATGTGCACAACAGCCCATCATGAGACCCACCCCCCCCAAAAAAAAACACAGTAGCCCTGCATCTTCAGTGCAGCTCCACTATCACTGAGCCTCTGGGCTTGCCGATCAGAAGGTTGGTGGTTCAAATCCCAGCAACGGGGTGAGCTCCCGTTGTTCAGTATCAGCTCCTGCCAACCTAGCAGTTTGAAAGCACGTCAAAAGTGCAAGTAGATAAATAGGTACCGCTCCGGTGGGAAGGTAAACAGCGTTTCCGTGCACTGCTCTGGTTTGCCAGAAGTGGCTTAGTCATGCTGGCCACATGACCCGGAAAAACTGTCTGCGGACAAACGCCGGCTCCCTCGGCCAGTAAAGCGAGATGAGCGCTGCAACCCCAGAGTCGTTCGCGACTGGACTTAACTGTCAGGGGTCCTTTATCTTTACCTTTATTGAGATATGCAGGTCTGTATCTCCCATAATGTGTAGTTCCAGCCTTAGAATACAGAAACTTTCCCTCACATTGGGCTAGGATTGTTGCCTCCATTACTTGTCCCATTTCTGAGGTCGGGGATAATATAGTGGTACCTCAGGTTAAGTACTTAATTCGTTCCGGAGGTCCGTTCTTAACCTGCAACTATTCTTAACCTGAAGCACCACTTTAGCTAATGGGGCCTCCTGCTGCCGCCGCACTGCCACAGCACGATTTCTGTTCTCATCCTGAAGCAAAGTTCTTAACCTGAAGCACTATTTCTGGGTTAGCGGAGTCTGTAACCTGAAGCATATGTAACCTGAGGTATCACTGTACTGCAAAGTCCACAAACTCCTCTCTGGTGGCTAAAGCAGTTCAGACAGCACATCGACAAATCTGCATAGTCCCCATTTTTCTGTAATTGCACAGAAGTTGTCTTCAATTCCTTAAGAGTTACTTCAGTGCTAATTTTTTAAAAAAGTATTGCGATCACACTGTAACTGGCATTAAAGCCGATACCTCATCTTGATGGTCATGAGTTTTCCCGTTCCCAATCAGCCTGCTAAAAACGGAGACAGATTCCAATGTGATTTGTGTGTGGTAGAATACTAATTTAAGATTTACTGAGATTTAGGGGATAAGAGGCTGTGGAAGGGAAAGATTTTTTTATAGCCGCTGCACAAGCTCTTCACAATGGACTAATTTGCAAAGTCCTGAAATAGCTAACGTAGGCCTTATCCATTAAAATAATCTATGACCTGTCAGCAGGATTTCGTTCTTGCGAAGGCCCGTGCCTATAACAAACTTTTTGGTAACATAGTGACCTCTCCAACAATTCCTGTGCAAATAAAGGTCCACATTCGGATTTATTGTAGGCTCTTTGCCGACAGAAATCCTGAACATTGCTATTGCTGATCACCACTGAGCAATCCTTTTTTCGAAAAGATTTTTGACAAACTGGAAGCTAACACATGCATTAGACTCCACTCCCACCTGAGGAGAGAAGACGATATGTCCCATTGAGCAAACATCGGCCCTATGGTAGCAGTTGTTAGTCATCTAGCTGGCATCACTGCTTCTGCTGTTGAAACTGATGATACCACATACTCCTCCATGCTTCAGCACCCAAATAGGGGCCCAGTGCCTCATAACTTGGACTAGACCAGGGGTCAGCAAACTTTTTCAGCAGGGGGCTGGTCCACTGTCCCTCAGACGTTGTGGGGGGCCGGACTATATTTTGAAAAAATAAATAAATATGAACGAATTCCTTTGCCCCACAAATAACCCAGAGATGCATTTTAAATAAAAGGACACATTCTACTCATGTAAAAACACGCTGATTCCTGAACCGTCTGCGGGCCGGATTGAGGAAGCGATTGGGCCGCATCCGGCCCCCGGGCCTTAGGTTGCCTACCCATAGGCTAGACAACAAACAGGAGTGTTGCACAGCTGCTTCAGCTACCCCACACCACAGTTCCTCAGGGGAACTGTGAGAACGTGCAAGCAGTAAAGCAAAAGTGCTGCATCTCAGGGTTCGAGCATCTGCTTTGCATGTGAAAAGTCCCAGATTCAATTCCTAGCATCTCTAGGTGAGGCTGGGAGATGCCCTTTCCTGAAAGCCCTCAGAGCTGCTGCCAGTTAATGTGGCTGCCCTGAGAACTTCGGATGAAGGGTGGTAGATAAATTAAATATAATGGTGGTGATAGGACTGAGCTAGAAGACATAAAACTTTCCTAAAACTTTCACCCAAAAGATTGGAATCCTCAAAACAATGGCCAAACTCCTGTAAATAACCAATATTTTTTCCAACTGTTTATGGAGGAACCATGTAGTCAGCCATATATAATTTGAATGGAGTGGACTTTGCACATCCTAATATGCATTTGGAAGTGTGTTGAATGTTTTCATGAAGCGAATTACTAGACGTAAGTTTTTTTGTTTTTTAAATATATATATATATATTTCCCACTTGTAAGTTATAATTAGAATGGCCTAAAATGTCTCAGCCATTCCTTCTCGCTTGCCTGCCTACAGAATTTCCAATGCCTCTTTAAAAACCATTTACTAAAAATATGCAAGCATTTGCTGTGGCAGAAGGGTTACTTCCAAAGACTATTTTGAACATCTAGTGTTGGGGCTGGGCCTCAGAATACCAATAAAGTCAATCATTTGTCAACTTCTTATTTTTATTTTCACAATTGGTGTTTCAGTATGTTAAAATATAAATACCATTTCTTTCCGGGATGGGAAACCTGTGGCCAGTGCCAGATTTACGTATAAGCTAAACAAGCTATAGCTTAGTGCTCCACTCTCTTGGGAGGCCCAAAAAAATTTAAAGGAAAAAAAACCTGGATGTACATTTCCAAAATATAAGATAAAATAAATAAATAAAATAAAACCTACATACAGCAACAGTATTTTGTGTTGTGTAGGCTCCTATGATATAAGTACAGAGGTACCTCGGGTTAAGTACTTAATTTGTTCCAGAGGTTTGTACTTAACCTGAAACTGTTCTTAACCTGAAACACCACTTTAGCTAATGGGGCCTCCTGCTGCTGACGCACCGCCGGAGCATGATTTCTGTTCTCATCCTGAAGCAAAGTTCTTAACCTGAAGCACTATTTCTGGGTTAGGGTAGTCTGTAATCTGAAGTGTATGTAACTTGAAGCATATGGAACCCGAGGTACCACTGTAATAGGCCCTGCCTGCTAGCCTGCTCCCTAAAATATCACTGGTTTGCTCATTTCTATATACAGGGTGCCCATAAATTACCATATAGCATACCGAATATTCGACAAAGGACAGCTGGACATATAAAGGGCCCCATTACCTCCAGTAGCTTAAACCTAAATCCTGGCTTGTGGCCCTCCTGATGTTGGTAGACTCCAACTCACATCCGTCCCAGCCAGCATGCCCAATGGTCAGTGATAATAGAAGATCATCAATAACTGGAGGGCCACAGATTACCTATTCCTGATTTGCTTCACTATTTCAGCAAGCAAGAGAATGATAATTGATGTTCAGTTTTAAAATGTGCCCTATGATTGCTATCACATGAGGTTCATGCAATGTTTTTCGTTTCAGACATAGATGAATGCTCACTTGGCCAATATCAGTGCGGGAGTTTTTCACAGTGTTACAATACGCAGGGATCTTACAAATGCAAATGTAAAGAAGGATACAGAGGTGACGGAATGAACTGCATAAGTACGTAATGATCATTTTCTTCTTGAATTCCAAATTCCGAAACATCGCCAGGCATCCTCGTGCCATCACACTCATCTAATTTTGAAGGAATGGATAGTGTATTTAAAGTTTTATGAGCCTTGATATGCCAGTGTAAAAATAAATTTCCTCAAGCACTTTTCGTTTTTAGAATGAAAAGCCAGTGGTCGTAGTTTGCAGTTACATCTCTGTACATTGCTCTAATTGTTTTAATGTTTTGCAGTCTGCAGCTTTTCTTAGGAATATGGTCTGCTTGCCTAAGCCTTTCCTGTTGACTGTTATTAATGCTTTTCCTGTCATGGTGTGCATTGCATAAAATTGTAATTCTCAGTAGTTAACTTCAGCAGATCACACACGTCTCTATGATTTCATTATAGAGTTCAAGTACTAAGCAATGTGGTCTTTCTTAAGAAGCCTCCCCAGCCATGTACGCACTAGTCCCTCTTTGAGTTGAAAGTTATTTTCCTGCTTTGCACTATCAGTTGCTTTTCGCAGCTCAGGGCCTCAGTGCCCAATTCAGGAAGCCTTCCTTGAAGCATATAGTTATAGCTTGATCTGAACTGAACATTTGGAAGTCATTGGCTTAACCCAGTGGAGTCTGGTCAGGTTCAGTGGCAGAATGTGCAGAAGCTCCAAATTCAATGCTTTATAATTAGGATTTAAGGTAGCAGGTAGCCCTCTGTCTGAAACCTTGGAGAGGTAAGGCCACCTGAAAAGAAGACAGAGTTTGGCCAGGTGAACCAATGGTTTGATTCAGTATAAGGAAGCATGGTATGTTCACTGTTTTCGCTGAAAATAGTTATATGTCAAGAAACACAGGAGAAAGGAAGAAAACCTTTAAAGATGTCTTTATAGACATCCGCATTTGTAAATTCTGTTCCACAAATTACTCCTTCCTGTTGTCTGAACATGTTGAAATCTTTAGGGACTTTGCATGGTACAGTCACCTCTGAGTTTGTAAAGTTAGAGAGTTTATAAAGTTATAGAAGCAAATAGTAACTTCTGTTTCCTGCATGCTTTTGACAGCATGTGACTAGCTTTTAAGAGAGATCTGAGAATCTGTGCAAGAGAAGCTGCTTCTGGCTTCTTTTGCTTTGCTTGTTGGGAGGGATTTTCCGCATGCGAATTAGAAACGTGCTTGCTTGTCATTGTGAAGAAACAAGATTGGTAGTGTGGTTATTGTTGGACTGCACAGAAGCCTGACTTGGTCAGGCAACCTGCATGAAAGACTTTGATGGATCCAAATAGGTGATTTTCAAAGATGTCTTTCTTTCGAGAACGCGACTGATAGCCTTGCTGATAGTGCTAAATCTTTCACCAGCTTTCGATATTATTGAAAATGAGACGGGTTTTGGCTCAGCTGAGGCGCATGGCAGAGGTGAACGGGATCCTTTTAATGTGCTTCTCTCTGAGATGGCATATCAGAGGGAAATGTGGGGTAAGGGATGGTCTCTGTCTGTCTTTGTACCGTTCCTAATGCAGTGAGGCTTCAACCCTTAGACCTTTAGATGTTTGGATGACAGATAACCAATGTAACGGTTGCAGCAAATGATCAATCCTCTTCCTTAACAATAATTCCTATGTTGGTTTCTTCATTTTTGTGGGGGAGTAAGGATGTCGTTATAGCTTTTCAAACACTAAGTGTCTCAGTCATCTGAAAAGATTATTTGTTCTATGTCAAGGCTAGATGGCTATTTGTATTTACCTTATAGACGAAGCCTGTAAACGACAACAAAAGCACATGTTAAACTTGCTAGGAATAAGCTGCTAAAAATGTCCTCCCTTCAATCCCGATTACATCACCCAAAGATGACCCTTTGAAATTAATGAACATGGGTTGACTCTGGGTGGAACTTTGTTAGACACAATACAAAGTCTAGACTTAACCTGCTGTGTAAATTGTCACATTGCACTGTGAATCTCCAGAGCCTTGCTTCACATTTCTAGTGGATAATGCCAAGGACACGGGAGACACAGATTGTACTGTGATGGCCCAAATATAAGCTGCCCCTTTAAAACTGGAGGACGGGTGACATGTGTGGGGCGGGCGCCACTTTGCTGTTCTCTTGGTGTTGTTTGCCCCACAGTCCTACCTGCATACTGTAAGGTTGCGAATTTGGGGGGAAAGTGAGGCTTATATTCAGGCCAATACGGTAATAGAAGTGTTCCAATATGTTTTGGTGTACATCCTAAGAGCAGGGTCAAAGACAGCTTGAGTCCTTGCACCAATGCTACAGCCTATTGATATTGCTTAGCAAGCACCACCATGCAGCCTAGCTCTGTCATGCAAGACTATCCTGGTGGGATGGGGCTATATCACAACATGGGTAAGTTAGGCCTACAGAAACCACAGAGGTGCCAGTCTCTTCCCCTGGGGAACTCTTTCTAAGTATAGAATCACGTTTCAGCAGCAGGGACTCAATTCACACCTTATGGCACTGCAGTTTAAGCCAATTCATATACGTAGAACTCACCCCACCCCAAACAAATACCTTAACATTTCAGCCAGATAGTCTTGTACTTATAGTTCTTCAAAACTTATAGTTTTTCTTCACTTCAGAGGTATTCATATACACTTTTCATGTGCTCAGTTTGTGGGTTCTTGAGTGTGTTGGTTGTGTCAGATTTGATTCGGTGTTTTCAAACACATCCCTGAAAAGACCATGTCCTATACTGTGGTCTGTGGTTGACCAGCGGTCCACATACTTCATTCAGGTGGTTTGCAGCATGCCTGTAAAAATATAATGAAAAACCAGTGGCTAGCACAGTGCGTTACAATTGCTGCAACAGGCAGAAAAGAAATATTAACTGGTCCACCAAGATCCTCAGAAATTTTCAAGTGGTCCGTGGGAATAAAGTCTGGAGACCATTGATCAGCTTGAACTTTGCACACTATTCTCATTATTATGAAAGGGTGTGTATGAGCAATATTATTTCAAAAGTAAAAGAGAGGAGGAAAGGAACTGGTATTAACAAATGCTGTGAGTAATGCGATGCTTTTCATATAATCATGAAGCAAACCTAAGTTCCGAATATTTCAATTGTGTCCTTGGTATGCTTTGCATAGAGAGAGAACATCATCCATGTGTTTTTCCCCCTCCAGCTATTCCCAAAGTTATGATTGATCCATCTGGCCCACATACCGTCTTTAAGGGAAATACAACCTTTCCTAAAGGCAGCGGTGGCATGACAAATAGGATACCTGAAACTGGTGGTGTGAGGCATCCCATCAAACCACCTAATCCACCAGCTACAGCGAGGCCTCCTTTCAGGACAACAATGAGACCCAGCCCAAAGCCAACCACGAGGCCGACACACAAACCAATTACCAGGTTTGTACCCAAGCCTGCAACCACAAGGCCAGCTTTGAAGCCAGTGACAAGACTCCCACCAGTCACAAGGCCCCCGACGCCACCTCCAACTCCGCCTAAGCCGGTAACGACAAAAACACCACGACTCACAACTAAAGAGCCACTGCACTTTCCTAGTGAAACTACAGCTCCGCAGGGATTCACAGTTGACAACAGGATACCGATCGATCCTCAGAAACCGCGAGGAGATGTCTTTAGTAAGTACCACCGAATCCTTTTCTATCAACGAAACTTGCCATTCTGTACATGGAAAACATTAGAAGTCTCATGGAACACACAAAACTGTACATAGCTAAAACTGTAGTTTTGGTCACTCAAGGCCTGGGGGGACTTGTGCCATAGCTAAAACTGGTAAATCAACTGTGACTTTGGTTAAATGCTTTTTTAATGAAAGCATTTAACCAAAGATCTGGAAGGCAACGAATTGAGCAGGTTGCTGTGTTATGGAAAGTTTCTTCCACTTTACGACTGAATGAAACGAGGGACACGAAATAGATAAAGCGGTGTCTTTATTGGCTCCATTTCTATTTTCGAGTGCAAGCTTTTAAGTGGCACAATGCTCTTATCCATGAATTCACAGAGTCATCCCCTCGGTATTTATTGCTAAGCAACTGCAAAAATCAAATTAAAAATAACTTTTGATTCCTGCTTTATGGAATGTGCCCACCAAAACCAGACACGTTTAAAGCTCGTGGTGCTGTAAAGATGCTCCTCGTATGAGGAAGTATCTTTTGGAGAGCTGTATTGATACTGCATTACTTTAATGCCAAGTTGACTTCATGCCGCAGATGACACTTGCTGGCTTGCTCATTTCAGCATGCCTGCCAAGAAATACCCAGCACACTGTTTCATCTTTAGCACCAGGACTGAGGTTAATTATAGAGCTTGGGGTTGGTATTTGGACAAGTCTTGCTCTTCAGCCTCATAAACAGGAGCATTGCTGAGCAAAATAGTCTGTGAGTTTTGTTATCTTATGGCAGATGGACAAGTGCATTCCTTAATGGCTTTGGGAGTGATTTTGGCTTGGCTTCAGCAACTCCCAGCAGCACAGTTTGAGGCATGATAAGCTCTTCCCCTTGTTGAAACGACTATCTGGTTTGATATCTGTTCCTTTTAAGTACATGTTGCAGATATGAAGGCTTGATAAATTGGGACAGAAGAAACAAAACACAAACAAAAGGTTTAAGGAAAATGAAGTCACAATCTGGGAACGTACAATTCTTGTTGAAATAAAGAGGAACCATACTGCGATTCCCATTCATTTCAAGGGTGCTCATGCAGGCACTGTTCGCAGTGTGACCAAAAGATTGCTTCTGTGTTGGCATTACTAAAAAGTCTCTCCTTTCTGTCTGTTTTTGGAAAAGAATATTGTGTTGTAAGCATCTTTCAGTTTAATGTATCCAAGTACAGTTGTACCTCAGGTTACAGACGCTTCAGGTTAGGGAACTTTGCTTCAGGATGAGAACAGAAATCATACAGCGGCAGTGCAGTGGCAGCGGGAGGCCCCATTAGCTAAAGTGGTACCTCAGATTTAGAATAGTTTCAGGTTAAGAACGGACCTCCGGAACAAATTAAGTTCTTAACCTGAGGTATCACTGTAAAAGAATAAGTTATAAGTACATTTGTACAGATAAAAGTATTTCCAACGCTCTGGCTGACCATTCAAGTGGTCTATATTGTAATGTGCTTGTGGCAGTAAAGCCACAGTGTGATTGGCAGCCAGGGTAGCATGATGGCATGGAGTGCTCACAGGTTCTAAGGCAGGGGTCAGCAACCTTTTTCAGCTGTGGGATGGTCCACTGTCCCTCAGACCATGTGGTGGGCTGAACTATTTTTTTTTGGGGGGGGGGAATGAATGAATTCCTATGCCCCCAAAATAACCCAGAGATGCATTTTAAATAAAAGCACACCTTCTACTCATGTAAAAACAGCAGGCGGGCCCCACAAATAACCCAGAGGTGCATTTTAAATAAAAGGACACATTCTACTCATGTAAAAACACACTGATTCCCGGACCATCCGCGGACCGGATTGAGAAGGCAATTGGGCCGCATCCGGCCCAAGGGCCTTAGGTTGCCTACCCCTGTTCTAAGGGTTCACCTCTGAAAAAGCAGCCCATCTTCCCAGTTTGGCTGGGATTTTGTCCTTTTGCAGGTTCTAAGGAGAGGAGCTGCTTCACGCCACAAGATTGAAATTGTGCAGGGAAGCTAAGGAGTAGGAAATGCAAATGCACGAAGGAAAAGGGGAAAGGAGGCAGTGGAATGAGTTTAAGAAGTCCGAGGGTAGCTACATAAAAGAGGAAGAAGGTGGAGGAAAAGGGAATTGTCATAGAAAGGAGCAAGTGAGAGAGTATGCTTGGAAGAAATTGCCCAGTACTTAAGGAAGTCATATGGGTGAAGGAGCATAGGGCGATAGGTGTGCCATGCAAAGGCCACATATCATCCTTGCAGAAATGTCAGGTACTCAGTATACATGCCTTGACATTCTGAGTTACAGATATACGCAAGTCAAGGCAACATTAACCAAATGCTATCCTTTAGTTGATATACATGGAAGCAAAGGCACAGCTGTGTGTTCTGCACACGAGATTCCTTTCATGCCCTAGATGCTAACAATTTGTTAAGCATTCCTATGGTGGCTGCCCTAAGGCCTTATTCTTTCCAGAGAGCCCAGGGCCAGTTTATGTTGCCTTTTATTAACTTAACTCGAGGGCTGTTTTTTAAAAAATAGCGTGGACAATGAAATAAAGCTTTAAATTTAAGTATTAGGTGGATATTGCCTGGCAAGGCACGCCTCTCTCTCTCCCCCCACGCTCTAACCAACTGAGCCAACTGAATTCCAAGTAGCGTTAAAGGAGAAAGTTAAACTTTTCAGAACAGTCGCCCTCCCTCCAGCTACTTTTTGTTCAAGAAGGATTGCGCCCAGTCCTGAACAAACTACTTAAATAAACTGCTAACTTTGTGTAATTTGGACCAAAATAATTCAGAGCAGTGATTTCCCCCCTAGAAAATATTTTTTATTCGGCTCACACCCTGCTTTCTTTTCTGACAAGATTATCGCCCAATTATGGCTTGAAATTAAAAGGCACACTGTATAAAGGCACATCAATTGCCAGGGATCTTCTTGTGCCTGACAGTCGATGACGTAGTCCAGGATAAAAGCATGTTGGCTAATAGGGAAAAAAAGCCAACCTACAGAATCTGTCCTGAGCAGAAGGACAATCAAAGGCAGCTACTTTTCTGCAGGTATTTTTGAGCAGGTTAATTGGGCAACTCTTTTTATTTGATTTTTTAAAAAGTTTTGTTTGTCGTTTTTTGCTATTTTAATTGGTGATGACTAATGGCGGGTTTTATGATTTTCTTTTTTGTTTAATGTTCATACTATAATCTTGTTTTGCTACAAACTGCCTTGAGGACCCTGTTAGCAGCACATAAATCTTTTTTTAAAAAAAATCATAACCGTTAAATAATAGGAAGGTACAACCTAAGCTCAAAACTAGCACTGTAATTAACTTTATCTAAAGATACCATAAACAGGTGCCTTCTCAGTTTAGACAGAAAATTTGTGCAGGGCATGTGATGGGAATCTTTTCTTCTGTATTCAAAACCCATTTGCCTAGACAATCTCTTACTAAATACTCTGTGTTAGATAAAATAACCCATTTGGTGATAATCTCTGTAAGAAGGATTTTAGATTCTGTCCCCTTTACATTTTCAGTTCCATACCTTCAGTTTGGACCAGTTTGGGGAGTTTTATATGAGATGTGTCCTTGGCCAACTACTACTACTACTACTATTATTATACCTGAAGATCACAGGGTGGTTTATAGTATAAAAATACAAAATGAAAATACAAAATAATATCTTAACAACAACAGCAACCAATAACACCCACCTCCCACAAACACATTTAAAAGTTTGTTTAATCAGCCAAATGCCTGGCTATAGAGGAATGTTTTTGCCTGGCGCCTAAAGATATGTAGTGAAGGTGCCAGGCAAGCCTCCCTGGGGAGAGCATTCCACAGACAGGGAGCCACCACAGAAAAGGCCTGTTCTCATGTGCTACACACTGGAACTCTTATGGAGAGGGCACATGAAGAAGGGCCTCAGGTGATGATTGTAGGATCCAATCAACTCATATGGGGAGAGGCGGTCCTTGAGGTACTGCGGTCCTGAGCCATTTAAGTCTTTAGGAGTCAAAATCAGGACTTTGAATTCTAAATTCAATGAGCATTCCATGCCTACTAATGCCACTCACCAAGCTTTTGTGTTGTCTTAAAGATTTTCAGTATTGCCATTTTCCTGAGACCTGCTGATATCTCCTCCTTGTGTGCAGATGGCAGTTTTGAGTACGTAAGGATCAGCAGTCGAGAATGAGTTTTCTGTTAGCTCATAGGGTGGTTGTGTTTCCTTTTCTGCATCCTCTCTCTCAAGAAAGTCCTAATTTAACACTCTCTTTAATCCCGTGGCTGATATTTAGTGCTCAGGTTTTCTGACAGCATTGAGTAGGCTTCTTTTTTTCCCGTTGAATCAACTTGAAACCGAGACCCTTAATCATGGCTTACCACAATGCAACTCTTTCCCAACCAAATTCAGCCACTGGCAAATAGATAAAAGCGTTCAAGATTAAAAGGCAGAGTGAAAAATTGGTTTTAATTAGCCCTTCAAAATATTCTGTTCCCACTCCCTCCTCTTGGCACTCCTGTTTTCTAGAGATCTTTATTTACTTTTTGTTAATTTTTTGGAATTAATATGCTGCCCTAGCAAGCCAAGCATTTCCACCACAACTCCACCCTTCTGCCAAAGAATGCAGAAAACATCAAAATTACATTTAATGAACATAATAGGTTGAAATAAATGGGAAATTTAAACAGTTTCTCATTAGGATTTTTGTCACCTACTTTTAATTTATATGAATTGTGCATATATTGGGAGATCTGTCACAGGATTCCCCATCCATCCTTATTTGTTGCAAAGTTAGAGTTGTGTGTTCAGATGAATTAGTTCTGCCTTCAGTTTTAACAAAAATGTGTCTAAGGGAGGAAAGAGCTAAAAAAATGAAGGGCAATGAAAGCTTTTATTAAATGAAGGCTAACTTGTATAAATACAATGGCTGTATTGTTTATTTGTCAACCTTATTTTGAAAGCCAAACATGCTGTGCAGAGATCCCAAAGGGGATAAAATGGCATTCAGATGTCATATAGAATAGTTTAAAAAAATTAAAACAATATGGCTAGATATCTATGATTATACAGTGGTACCTCTGGTTATGAACTTAATTCGTTCTGGCGGTCTGTTCTTAACTGGAAACTGTTCTTAACCTGAGGTACCACTTTAGGTAATGGGGCCTCCCACTGCTGACACTACGCGATTTCTATTCTCATCCTGAGGTAAAGTTCTTAATGTGAAGTACTACTTCTGGATTAGCAGAGTCTGTAACCTGAAGTGTTTGTAACCTGAGGTATTTGTAACTCGATATACAACTGTACAGCGGTCACAGTAAATCTTCTGGTACATAACTCATTTCTTTGAAGATGTGCAAGAAATAACTTTATTGGTTCTTTCCCCTGTTATATCCACTCAAGATACATAGCAACAATATAATAATAATAATAATAATAATAATAATAATAATAATAATAATAATAATAATAATTGTACCATGCCCATTTGGCTGGATTTCCCCAGCCACTCTGGGCGGCTTCCAACAAAGACAAAAAATACACTAAAATGTCACACATTAAAAACTTCCCTGAACAGGGCTCCCTTCAGATGTCTTCTGAATGTCAGGTAGTTGGTTATCTCTTTGACATCTGGTGGGAGGGCGTTCCACAGGGCAGGCGCCACTACCGAGAAGGCCCTCTGCCTGGTTCCCTGTAGCTTTGCTTCTTGCAATGAGGGAACCGCTAGAAGGCCCTCGGCGCAGGACCTCAGCGTCCTGGCAGAATGATGGGGGTGGAGACGCTCCTTCAGGTATACTGGGCTCATGTGCAGAGTATTTTCTATGAAAGGCATATCTCAAGTAGTATCCTTTGCAACATTCCTTCAGTCAGAATTCACATACACAAAAAGGCATTTGACCACGTTTCTTCTCCCTAGTTAAAGGTTTTAACCAGTTAAGATTGCATCCAGTGGGGCAATAAAACTGCTAGCACAATTGCAAAGCTAAGCAGGGTCCAGGATGGTTTCAAAGTGGCTGAGGGACCGCATGTTGAGATACCTGCATTGCAGGGGGTTGGTCAGTTTCAACAAGGAGTGGTTTAAAGCAGGCTTTTCCTTTGGGGATTGTGTTGAAGTGGAGAGCATCCTCCGCTTTGCCTTGGTCAACCAATACACACCTGACTTGTTTATGTGAGGGAAGAGCCGTAGCTTAGTGGTAAACCCTTGAATGTGGACGGCCTCTGGTTTGATCCTTAGAATCTATGGGTAGGGCTGGGGGTGCCCCAGGATGCCTGAAACCCCAGAGAGCTACACCTAAGTCAGTGTAGACAATACTGATCTGTCCAGTGGTCTGACTCAGTACAGGGCATCTTCCTATGATTCTTGCAACTAGATCCTGCACACAACCAGTTGGACACAAGCCAGCAGAATGCAGGCTTTTCAAATGATTTCTGTACACCTGGTAATCATGTGTACCTACTGGATTTGAAAGTGGGTCTTGTCTGCAAAAGGCTCATGACAAAACTGATTACTTTTTCTAAGATGCCACCACTCTAAAAAGCCTGCACTGCAGTAGCAGCATCTCTGTGTTTTGAAATGCTGCCACGATAACAATTGCTATGTCAGGGATAGGAAAGGAGGAGAAGGAGACAGTAGAAGTTTTCTATGGGGGCAAAGTCTGCTAAGTTCGAAACGTCGTTGAGCTTTTTCAACTTACCGGTACCTTTGACAGAAACCAGATAAACGTTACTGTATAAGTTGTTGAGTTGGGGCTATAAATCCATATATGAAAGGCGATTAAATAGATTGAATTTTCCAGGAGCACAAAGCATTCCCTCCTTATTTATTTATTTAATGTTAAAGTTGGAATTACTCAGTGGCCTACTTCCTTATCTACTGCATTCATTCCTTCTAAATAGCTTCCTTTTTTCTCTCCTTCCCCCAGTTCCACGCCAGCCTGGAGTGAGCAATAATCTCTTTGAAACATTTGAAATTGAAAGAGGGATTAGTGCCGATGACGATGAAGCGAACGATGATCCAGGTGGCCACCACAGTTCTCACATCTTCTTTTAATTGTGTTTCCTGTTGGCGTATGGTGTGTGCGTGCAACATTTTTACTCCTTTCATTTGCAATGAGATCCTTGAGTCAACTGGCCTGCAATCTGGCGCTGAGACACACCGCCCTTCAGATCCATTTACTTTAAGCTCTGAGCCCTGATCGTGACCTGCCTCCCAGTCTGGTGCCCTTGCAGTCCCCAGCTCTTGTGTCCAGATCACTGCCAGCTACAGGGGTCATCATGACACATTTTGGTGCCACCTATGGAAATGACACGGGTGGCACTGTGGGTTAAACCACAGAGCCTAGGATTTGCCGATCAGAAGGTCGGTGGTTCGAATCCCTGCGACGGGGTGAGCTCCCGTTGCTCAGTCCCAGCTCCTGCCCACCTAGCAGTTCGAAAGCACATCAAAGTGCAAGTAGATAAATAGATACCGCTCCGGCGGGAAGGTAAACGGCGTTTCCGTGCACTGCTCTGGTTCGCCAGAAGCGGCTTAGTCATGCTGGCCACAAGACCCGGAAGCTGTACGCCGGCTCCCTCGGCAAATAAAGCGAGATGAGCGCCGCAACCCCAGAGTTGGCCACGACTGGACTAATGGTCAGGGGTCCCTTTGCCTTTACCTGTGAAAATGCACTAATGCCCTTAAGGTCCAAGGGTTTGGAGACACCTCTTTGCTGAATCTAAGCAGGGCTGGTCAGTGCCTGGGCCAACTGGGAACCGTACACATGTCACCTTGGATTCCATGAGGGGGGGGGATGAAATAAAATAGATAAAAGATTTTACCAGCATTCTCCAACTGCTAGTAATACAGAGTGAATCTATGTTATAGGCTGCAGTTGATGCTGCTTTGTGTGTGCTGTATTTTCCTGCAGCAAACACAACTGTTGGGAAAAACATAGTCACCATTAGTATTTGTGTTTGCCATAAAAATATGGGCCACATTTTCTAGCAATACAAGTGCGCTAGGGACAGTTCTTACAAAACAAAACACAACAAAACAAAACACAAAACAAAACAAAACAAAACACACCCACAATAGCGAAGCCTTAATAAAACCCATAGGTCCAACTTTCTCTTTGCAGATCTGATTTGATCACTCCTCCCCCCCCCAACATTGGCTATAAATTCTAACCAACCAGCTTTAGGCTGAAAAGTTCACCAGCTCCAACAGTCAAGACCTTACGCTCTTTTTTTTGACCTTTGATCTGCAGGTGTTCTGGTTCACAGCTGTAACTTTGATGGTGGCCTGTGTGGGTGGATGAAGGAGAAAGACGATGATTTGCACTGGGAACCTGTGAAAGATGCCTCAGGTATTGCTTGATTTCCTTGGATTTAGTTCAAGCCTGTTTTATCACCAAAGTTTGAGGGGCAAGAAACAAGCAATCTGAACAGCCGCACATTAGTGTAGTTAGGTAATTTTCTACTCCAGGCTTAAAGATTTTATGGAGAGGAGGTAATGTGTGGGGCCGATTCCAGGTTATTTTGGGGGGGATTCTTTAGTAGGAATTGACAGGTGTCAATTTCTTTTTCTCTCAGTTTCTCATTTTTTATAGTCTTAAATTTGCTTTACCACATTTCATGGAATTTCCTTATGGCAATTCACCACAATTTTAGTGTGCATTTCTCCTAAGTTAATACTCAGGATATTTAAGCCCAAAAACATGTGGGTCTCTCATCTATTTGTTGCTACAAGCAGCTAGACATTCACAGTAACTGGTGTCTCTGACATACAGGACACATCTAGCCAGTTCAATAATGCTTAAAAGAGTATCATGTTTCAAAATAGGATGTTCTTTGAGATAGACATCTGTATGGGAAACTCTGCATGTGTATGTATAAGACTTGCTTACATGCATGGATCTCGCTTGCTGGATCAGGGCAATTGTTTTGTATGTTTGATTGTTTTTTCTATTACCACTTTCATATAAAAACTATGTATCCTGTCATGAACTCCACCCCCAACTTTGAAACACTTAATAAAATGAGATCAAAATAAAGAAATCCACATTAATGTTTCTGTGGCACGAAGTCTCATTCAGCAGAGTTTTGACTTCTTGCATGAAAGGCCCCATGAAATAAGTGATTGATACTACATGCTTTTTGATTTTGGCTCTTCTGAGTGGTGCCAGTCTTCTGGTTTTCATTTAGCAGCTGATGACTTTTGAACAGATAATATCCCAGAGAGGAAGAGGTGCATGAATGACTTCAAATGAACCCCACATGCTTGGCAGCAAGGGAATGGACACCAGGGAGTACTGGGGTCTTATTCCATGTTTATTGGGTTTGGGGCAATTTTTACAAATATGGACATGCTGTTTTTTTAAAAAAATAATAATGGGTGGGAATCCAAGGCTGTAATCATATGCATATTTACTAGGGAGCAAGACTCAGAGAACTAAGTGAATCTCCCATGATGAGTTGTAGACAGTAAGTTCAGGCCATACATCCAAGCAACTGATGTATGAACAATCTGAGTTAAGCAAAGGAGGATTGTCTAGTAAGTCTTAGATTATTAACACTGTTCTGTTGCCGCTGCTCTTTATTTGCGCAGCAAGAGAACTGAAGAATTATAGAAAGCCGGCATAAGTTCTATTGACATGTGTCACACTAGGGTAAGTTACTCCTCTTCCAAACTCCATTCAGAAGGAATTTGACTTACACTACCTTTTTTGCTGCGGGTGATGCGGGTGGTGCTGTGGGTTAAACCACAGAGCCTAGGACTTGCCGATCAGAAGGTCGGGGGTTCGAATCCCCGCGACGGGGTGAGCTCCCGTTGCTCGGTCCCTGCTCCTGCCAACCTAGCAGTTCGAAAGCACGTCAAAGTGCAAGTAGATAAATAGGTACCGCTCCAGTGGGAAGGTAAACGGTGTTTCTGTGCGCTGCTCTGGTTCGCCAGAAGCGGCCCGGAAGCTGTACGCCGGCTCCCTTGGCCAATAAAGCGAGATGAGCGCCGCAGCCCCAGAGTCGGCCATGACTGGACCTAATGGTCAGGGGTCCCTTTATCTTTACCTTACCTTTTTTGCTGGTTATATTATGCTGGCATTATCGGAGTACAATCTTCCAGCCAGGTTAAAACACTCAGAGTGCAAAGCATTTCCAGTGAAGGGTTGTGACCTGTTCAGAGCACCAGGTAGAGATGCCTGGATGGCCACATTTGCCCCCAAAGCCTGAAGTTTCCAACTTGTGCTTTAGTTTAAGCTTGATGACTATGAGCATTTTGAGTCAAACATTTTCTTTCTTTCTCTCTCTCTATTATTATAGGAGGACAGTATTTATCTGTCTCTGAACCCAAAGGAAAATCGGGACACGTTGCACGCTTGGTCCTTCCTCTTGGCCATTTAGGTCACTTTGGGGATCTGTGTCTGTCCTTCAGGCATAAAGTGTCTGGGATCCATTCTGGTTTACTTCAAGTCTTTGTGAGAAAGGCAGGGGCTCACGGACCAGCGGTTTGGGGAAGGAATGGTGGTCATGGCTGGAGGCAAACACAAATAAGTCTGCAAGGATCTGGCATCAAGAGTGTGAGTATCATTCTCGGGTGCATGAAAAAGAGAGTTCCTGAGAATGATATTATTCTTTATTGAACTCCATATGGGTTAAACTATTATGTTGTAAAATGTGGCTACTGGGTTTGAATCCCTGAGATTCCTGGGTATGGTTAATAATAATATAAAAAGTTAAAAATTAAGCTTTCCTTCCCAGACATAGAATAATTGCCATTCCCAGTTTGGCCACAGGAAACTGTGGCTTAACAAACCACAATGTCTCCTCCATAGCCAGGTATGCAAGAGGAGAAGAAAGGCAGAAGAGGGAGAACTCAGCCATATCATACATTCATGCTGCAATAAATAATAATAATAATAATAATAAAAAATTTTATTTATATCCCGCCCTCCCCAGCCTTAGCCGGGCTCAGGGCGGCTAACAACAATAAAACAGTACAAAAGTACAACATAAACAACACTCTAAAATCATTCATTCTAAAATTAATTAATTCAAGCCACTGGCAGCCATTGGGCCAGAGCTCCGCGAAGATTGCCGAAGGAGGGAGTCAGGCTGTGCCCTTGCCAAAGGCCTGGTGGAACAGCTCTGTCTTGCAGGCCCTGCGGAAAGATGTCAAGTCCCGCAGGGCCCTGGTCTCTTGTGACAGAGTGTTCCACCAGATCGGAGCCACAGCCGAAAAGGCCCTGGCTCTCGTTGAGGCCAGCCTAACTTCTCTGTGGCCTGGGACCTTCAAGATGTTTTTATTTGAAGACCGTAAGTTTCTCTGTGGGGCATACCAGGAGAGGCGGTCCCGTAGGTACGAGGGTCCTAAGCCGTATAGGGCTTTAAAGGTTAAAACCAGCACCTTAAACCTGATCCTGTACTCCACCGGGAGCCAGTGCAGCTGGTATAGCACCGGGTGAATGTGATCTCGCAGCGAAGACCTTGTAAGGAGTCTCGCTGCAGCATTCTGCACCCGCTGGAGTTTCTGGGTCAGTCTCAAGGGCAGCCCCACGTAGAGCGAGTTACAATAATCCAGTCTGGAGGTGACCGTCGCGTGGATCACAGTGGCTAGGTCAGGGCGAGAGAGGTAAGGAGCCAACTGCTTAGCTTGGCGGAGATGGAAAAATGCCGCCTTTGTTATAGCTGCAATCTGCGCCTCCATGGAAAGGGAGGTGTCGAAGATTACACCCAAACTCTTAACGGACGGTGCTGGCACTAATTGCACCCCCGCAAGAGATGGGAGTTGCCCCCCCAATCCCATATCGCCCCGTCCCAGCCACAGGACCTCTGTCTTCGAAGGATTTAGCTTCAACCGGCTCCCACGTAACCATCCAGCCACAGCTTCCAAACATCTGGTCAGTGTGTCTGGGGCCGAGTCAGGATGGCCATCCATCAACAGATAGAGTTGGGTGTCATCAGCATACTGATGGCAACCCAGCCCAAAACTCCGAACAAGCTGGGCGAGGGGGCGCATAAAGATGTTGAAAAGCATCGGGGAGAGTATCGCACCCTGAGGTACTCCACATACCAAGGAATGGCGCCATGACAATTCCCCCCCAAGCGCCACCCTCTGTCCCCGACCAGAGAGAAACGAGCGCAGCCATTGAAGGACTGTGCCCTGGATCCCCACGTCGGCAAGGCGGTGGTCCAGAAGTTCATGATCGACCATGTCGAAAGCTGCTGACAGATCTAGAAGAATCAGCAGCCCCGACCCGCCTCGATCCAGCTGTCTACGAAGATCATCTGTTAGGGCAACCAGAGCCGTCTCGGTCCCATGACCAGCGCGGAAGCCGGACTGGAATGGATCCAGAGCCAATGTTTCATCCAGAAACCCACCAAGCTGTTCAGCAACCGCTCTCTCAATCACCTTACCCAGGAACGGAAGATTCGAAACCGGGCGGTAATTGGATAGATCTAAAGGATCTAATGATGTTTTCTTTAAGAGCGGGCGCACCACTGCCTCCTTCAGTTCCCCTGGGAATGTCCCCGTGCCAAGGGACAAATTGATGATATCCCCCAGGAGGGCCCGCACCTCGTCTGGACACGCTCTAATCAGCCAAGTGGTAAACAGTGGTTTGTTGGTGTGCCTGTGCTTTTAAGTAATTCGGGGCTCTCTTTTAGTGCTGTGGTGTTTCAGACCCTTTTGTTACTTTCATCCTTGTGATCACGTGGAGCTAAAAAAATATTAGATTATAACAAGAGCACATGGCTGCCTGTGGCCCATGTGTTATCCAGTCTCTCCTAATTACCATAGATGACAGCATTCCTGTTGTACTTCAAAAGCAGTCATCAACTTCCTCACTGTTGGGATAAAGCCATGTTGGCAGGAAGTGGAGATCTCCCTGAAATAGAATGTCTCCCTTCGCTGTTGCCATTAAACAAGAGGCATTGTCATAGTTAAGACCAAACTCAGGTTGCATGAGCTGTGAAGATGGTGGCAGTTCTCACGGTTTCTGTAAGAGCAGGGATTGTATCAGTGTCTTTGGAGTGTTTGAGCCAGATACATTGAGAAGACAGATGATCAGAACTGGAGTCATGGTTAGATTTTACCCTTATTATTTTATTGATTTATTAATATACCACCTTCAGTTACAACAACAGCAGGGTGGTTTGCGACATGATAAAACAAATCAAATTTGTGTGTGTATAGATGTATGCACACACAAACCGCAACATCCATGAAGCAGCAAAACTGGCCTTAAAATAAACCTTGGTGTATTGGTGAAATGCAAACACTGTTGACACCTGCTTCAACAAGCCAAAGGTAATCTAATCCAGCATTTTCTTCTTTGAATAGCCAACCTGATGCCTAGGGTTGTCATACAAGCTGGTTGTTGAGCTGCTGCTTCTTCTTCTTTGGAGGGGAGGCAAAATTGTTGACTTTTTTTGTTGAGCTTTCTATGCAAAATCTCCAAAAAAATAAAAAAGAAGATGTTTTGGAGCTATTTTTATGGAAATTCACCAAAAAAAAACCCAACACTTCCAACATGGGTTGCCATACAACTGGGTTTTCCATGATATTTTAACCAATTTTGGGGAATTCTGCCCGGATGCTATTTCCAACACTTGAGGATTCCCAGGTAAGATCCTCCCTCTATTGTGTGGGCAGGTAATCCCTCCCCTACCTGGCCTGGTCTCCTTGGCAACGCTTCCCCCAGGTGGGATTGGGCAAATGACTGAGGTAGGCGGAGACCTCCAGGTATCCCACCTGAGGGAAGGCAAGGCCAAGCCTATGCTGTTGGAGCCGCTCCAGATCTAGGGGCTGCACGCGTCCACGCAAAGGGCGCCCCCCGTTTTAAGCGGGGAGCGGTCATTTCCAACACTCAAAACCCATATTTGCCCCAGACATATGGCAGCCCTGCTACAAGTACAACAGCATTTTCTGCACTTAGGATTCTGAGCAGCTGGTATTCATAGGCATACTGGATTTGACATTTGAGGAAAGTCCACTCTAGACACCACCAAGAAGGCCCTTCTCCATATGATCATGTGATGTATTTCTGGAGGATGTGGCATGATCAGGAGGACCTTTTCTGATTATCAAAGTGGTGCTGATCTATCTCTACCAGAGGCAGCTTCTAAGAAAATGCTATATAAGTGTGACTTGAGAGTTCATTTTACTGTCAGAATACAGGTGATACAGTCTAACCTATGTGTTCATGGTAAAATAACCTCTTGTCTTTCACCAATACACACATTTTCCTACACTGGGATGATAGCTGTGCTACAGTTTGGTTCATACAATAAACTTACAGTTCACAATAGTGGGGGCTATTGGGTTGTTGTGTTTTTTTATGTATTTTGTGGTTATATATCTTGATTTTATTCTGTGAACTGCCCTGAGACCTCCGGGTATTGGGCGGTATATAAATTTAATAAATAAATAAATATTTTTCTCCCCCAGGTTATTTTCAAAGGCGAGAAAGGAAAAGGAAGAACTGGGGAAATTGGATTGGATGATGTGAGCTTGAGGAAAGGCCTGTGTTCTCAAGACCATTAGTGGTAATAGACAAACTGGTAAAGAGAACGTACTTACCGGTACATTGTCCATGGTTTTTAGCCAAGAGAGATGGTGGACTGGCAATTGGTTCTCCCTTGCCTTTATGAAATCCCAGTGAACCTACATCTAAAGAAAATGAACTTTCCATAAAGGACAAAGTAAGCTCAAGCCAATGTTGGGGATTTTCATTAACAGTTATCCAGCTCACGTTTGCATATGTGATAAAAGCCTCCTAAATTCTGAATTAAGGCTATGAATATCCTCTATGAAGAAGAACCAACTGTTGCTAGGATTCATCAAAATGAAACTTCAGTACATACAGCAATTGCATTAATAGACTTCTGGGTGTTTCTCCATTTTGCTGTTTATACTCTACCATGGGACTGGTTCAGCTGTATAAATCGAAAATAACTCAGGAATAGACCTGAGCTGTTCTTCTACTGCCATCAACTTTTAAAGGAGAGAGAGTGTGTGTATGTATATATATATATATAATAGCATTTATTCTTTAGTTGTATCTTAATAACAAGAGACAGATATTATAGAGTAGGCACTGCATCCCTTAATATTCGTAGTGCTGTGTTATGTATAAATGTGTATGGATATTAATGTATTTATATGTGTTGTGTATTTGCAGGATCTATTTGTAAGACTAAGTGGCAGCTGTGCACATTCAAGTTAGATTAGAACACAGAAACCCACAATGATAGTCATGCAGTAAGTATTTTACGACACAGGTTGCCATGTGCGGACAATTTTATAGGGTGGCAATGAAATTCACCTATAAGTAAATGTAATGATGAGTTGGGTGCTAGAATCATTGCAACAGTATTGAGTTACTCAAATCAATGGTCTCATGTCAGAAGGAAAGACACTCATAACTGGTAGCAACAGTGTTGAAAGGTGCTCTTGTGAATTTAATAGTCATGTGGCCAGGGAACATTTGGCCAGGTTCTGTAATGTCATTTCTCAGCAGCTATTAAAAGCCAAAAGAGCTCTCTTTGGGTCAGGAATTGGCCATCTAGAGCAAAAGTCTATAGCAGCCGGCAGACTGGTTTCCAGCTATTGACTGGTCTACCATACTTTGCCCAGGGCAGCTTAAAAGGAAAATAAAAATGCAATAGTAAACACAATAGAATGATAATAAAACAAACCTCCAGCCAAATAGAGATTCAAATGGTTTAAAAGAGTTAAAGATTGCAAAGATGAAGAAACCTGGGGAGGGGTTTTCATATGGCATCACAATAACGATAGCAGCATGAGCAAGCGAGATTTCCCCCAGAGGACATTCCACAGGCAGGTCACCACCACCAAAAAGTCTCCCTCCCTCCCTGCCACTCACTTCACTCCAGATCACAGGGGCACTTAGAGAAGAGCTGCAGATCTAAGTCTTGGTGTATGGGCAGATGGATTATGGGTGCAGACAGTGCAACAGGTGCAAGATGCAGAGAACAAGTTTGATGTCCCTGCCCTTAAAGTCTTTACTCTTAAGGGCCTGTATGCCCTTAGTACGCAAGGATTTGTGCATTTAAAGAATGCTTAGGTAGCTCGGTCATTGGTACAGCTAAGTACCATCCTAGCAGCGAACGATGCCATGAATGAAGCACACTGCCATTAGCAGTATACACAGATACCAGGATCTTTTCAATTTACTCCAAGGTTAATCCGAGCCCCCTGGAGTCACTATGCAGCTTTTTGGACACACCAAATGAGCCATTTATAGAATTAATAATGTCATTAGATTTGGGCCAGAATAATGTTTATCTAGGCAGTTGATTTTATTTTTTATATTGGTTAAAGTTGCAATTTTAAAGGTGTGCACAAGGGAGTTTTAAACTGCTGCTACTTGCACAGCTGAAGAGGCAAGCTGTTTTTTAAAGTTTTGAATGCAGCTTGATTGTTCTGCCAGGCAACCTGTTGCAGCATTCCTGCTGTGAGCAAGACCCCTGTCCCTCACCTGCACATATAACTTGGTAAGGTTTCCGTCTAAGTAAGTTTTGGAATCATTAAATGCACACTGTTCAGTTTTCTCTGGTTGGGTTGGTGTGTGAAATGGGGTTTTAACCACAACCAATATTTTCAGAGTTTTCTTTCCTCAGACCAAATGCCATCCTTTTGTTTTATATTTTTTAAAAAAGAAGAAGGTACAGCTGTGTCTGAATCTTGTACTATTATAGAGAAACTATATTGAAATGTAAAATGCAGATTAAGGGTAATGGGCAGAATCTTGCAAATTCGTCATGTCAAATATCAGAGGAAAGGCATGGAATGTGGCTGTTTTATTGGTGCATTCATGCAATCTATTTAAGCTCCACTGGTTTCAATGGGACTTACTTGGCCATGATTAATGTTTGCTGAATTTAGCCCAGTATTATACACAACTGTTTTTTGTTTCTATTTAAGCCAGTAACATGCAAGGTGATACTAACTTAACTCTTGCTGAAAGACAGAGTATATTCCAGTACAGCCTTTTAGTGGCACATAGCTTGCCATCTGCCCAGCGGCGGAGGAAGCCACTCAGATACCTGGGGCAGCGGGGCGAGCTGCCCATAGGGTCAGGGTGCATTGCGGGGCCTCCGGAGTCTACGTGCCTCCTCCCACTCAGCCGCCCCACAGCTGGGGGGAGGCAGCGGATGGACCATTTGGGCAGAGCCCAGGAGAGACTTGTGGCTCAGGCATGCTGCAGGCCCTGTAGTGAGTGCCGCCCGGCATTTTGTCACTCCCCTCAGTGGTGACACCTGGGGTGGCCCACACCCATCACACCCCCTTCCTCCGCCCCTGCATCTGCCACAATCTATAATTGCTTAATCTGAAGTATTGCACCCTGAGACTTTTGACTTTTCTCCCATTGTACAGCGTCCTCTCACACTGCACTGCAATCTTATTTTGAAGCTATCCCAAGTTCCAAAAGATGTTTCGTTCCTCAGAGCCAGGGAGAGCCTGCTCAACCAGTAGATAGAGCCAGGCAGTTGCCTCAGGCAGCAGATGCTGGGGGGCTCAGGGTGGTGAGCAGCAGTGAGGTGTTAGAAGAGAAGTTAGAGATTCGAACAAAAGATCAGGAAGATCTTTAGGACAGTGTAAGCTGTTCGAAAGTTGAACAGTCTCCCTCAGGAACTGGGGGACTCTCCATCCTCAGAGGTTTTTAAGCAGAGGTTGGATGGCCGTCTGTCATGGATGCTTTAGCTGAGATTCCTGCACTGCAGGCTGTTGGACTAGAAGACCCTTGGGGTCCTTCCGAATTCTACAATTCTGTGATTAGCACATGGCCTGCCATGCACTCCTAAACTAGCCCACTGCTCTCAGGTGCAGTGAAAGACACTGTCCCAACCATCAGCATTGGAGCAAAATTCAGTTGCCGAGCTGGTTAGCTTCTGTATCTGGAATGCGGCCATAATTTTGTTATTTGCCTGTGTCTTGGACCAGTCAAAGAGGCTTTTTTCCTGCTCCCGAGGGGGGGCGGGAGAGGATGAAATTCAAACGCTTATCAAGTGTTTTTTCTAGATTGTGGCCAAATGTTTCCATATTGTTTATGGATTTTAGTGAATACTGGCAGTATTAAAGTGTGTATTTATCATGGGCCTGAATCATGTTGTATGATAGGAGAGCAAGTGTTCACAAAACTTTTTTTTGTAATCCTAAAAAAGTGTATGCTCTTAACATCTTTACTTGGTTCAAATTAGATTTTTGTGTGTGTTTGTGTGTGTACAGTTTTTCATGATAATATCTTACAGGGCCTGGAGCTCCAATGCAACCACCAAAAAGCGCATCCCAATTCAGTTTAATGGAAGAACTCTGCACTTACAGAGGCGCCCTATCCATTGAAGTGAATGGGATGCCTGCTCACATAGGAGACTTTCTGCATGTCAGAGTAGGCAGGGCATTCAACATTGAGGACTTGGTATTTTAACCTTGATACAGCTCACCCAACATATTGTGCTTTGCTTTTCGCAATGAGCAAAAGCCCCTGAGTGTCTCCCATAAAGAGAAAAGTCCCTCACAAAGACATGGCTTGTTGCTTCCAATGGCTACAAATTGGCATCACTTTATCCAGCTTAAGAGGATTTCAGTAAGTGTGGTTTTTAAAATCGCCAATCACGAAAGTAGATGCATACATTGCTTTCGCATCTGCTTACCGTGTTGCTGGTGCAATAACTACAGGGGGGAAGTCTTATATCTCTTTTTGTGGTGACATGCATGGGCACCAGATGTCATGAAAGCTCATGTACTCATGGCTGGAGGAGGGAGTGACTTCCCCTTACAATGTTAAAGCCAAGTTGCATGCACATCTTCAGTGGAACATAGGAAGCCGTCTAATACTGAGGCAAACCATTAGTTCATGTAGTCTGCAGTACAGCATCTCAAGACAGCCTCTGATAACTTGTCAAAAGTTCTTCTATCTCAAAATACATTTCCCCATAATTTTCACTGGCAGCTTTATTGATCTTACCTTTCCCCAACTATTCGGCTTAGTCTGATCTAACAAACATAAATGTTGATTTTTCTGTGTGTGTGCTATTCCCTTCTTTCTTTTTGGCTGATCTTCCTGTTTCTATGCTACATATAGAACAACTCTAGTTACGTTCCGCAGGGCGTTTTATGGAGATACGGTTCTTATAAACAAGCGCAAAAAAATCTATACTGCAGAACTCACTATCGTGACAAGCAATACACACAGTATTTTACACACTATGATTTTGGTCCAGCTGTATATATGGGGAAAGAAGGTATTGCACAAGAGCAGATAAGGGGTGAATTATCATTGCATTACAGTAAAGATGTCAATGTGTGTCCAAACAATAAAATGATCTGGATCAAGACATCTGCATTTGATATACCCATGTAGCAAGCTTTCTGTACACACAGATCTCTCTTGCTCAACTTGGGCATTAAAATGTACCTAAAGTCCAATATCATTCATATATAAATAACTTTCCTCCATTCAGTGACTTCTTTGCTCTCTGACAACAGTTCTTTTATTTTTTTAAAAAAGATTTTTTTGGTGCCAACAAACCTGTATTGCACAAAGTTCAAGTGGAACACATTTTATCAAATGTACTGTAGGACATCTTAATAATTTAATATGGTTTTAAAGAAATGAATAATTTTCCAAAACAGACTCAAAATAAAGACATCTTTGTAAATTCACATGCATTTGTCATTCTTGTTATTTCTAAAAGCAAAATAAATGCAGATAACCATGGGTACAATACAAAATCTGGTTTTGTAATCCATGTAAGGCTATGTCCATTTGGTGAAATAAACAAGCATAATTTCTGTGAAGTCCTAATCTTGGTATGATTTTATTCTGATCATTGACAAGAGCCAAGCAGGAGTGGCAAGGAAATTGAGCGACCATTGTACATTATTTCCAACCTTCCCCTCCCCTTCATTTTCTTTGATGTGTATCATTAACTCCATGGCCAAATTCCTTTAGAAACTAAAACTAAACAGAGAGGCCAAAAGGCCATGCATACTGCATCTTCTAGACAACATCTACAAATTCTACAAAGCAAATGTAGAAACAAAGCTGACTGCACTGCTGACATCTGACTCATTTTAAGACTGCACTCAACAGCTCTGGAAAGAAAGAATCCTTGTCATCTTACACATCCTTACAGGGAAAACTATAACTGGAATGCAGGGCTGGTTTGCACATCCCAGTTCCACATGATCACAGCCACACCATGTGTTGAACAGCACATGGAAACGGAACACCACAAATATTGCACCACCAATACAGTTTTATTTTTTACAATTTAAGAACCTTGTGCAGGTTAAGGACATTGTTTGACATAAATGTGTTTGGATTTGATAGTCCGCTTTATCACTACCCTAAGAAGTCTCAAAGCGGCTAACATTCTCCTTTCCCTTCCTCCCCACAACAAACACTCTGTGAGGTGAGTGGGGCTGAGAGACTTCAGAGAAGTGTGACTGGCCCAAGGTCACCCAGCAGCTGCAGGTGGAGGAGCGGGGAAGCAAACCCGGTTCACCAGATTACGAGTCCACCGCTCTTAACCACGACACCACATTGGCTCTCTAAATGTGTCCATTTAGAGGCCTGTTAGGTTAGGGGAGCCAAGATCTGTGTGGAAAGCTTGAAGGGGATGGGTATGCTACACTAATCAGGACAGAATAAGGAGGAAAGGAATTGCAAGCATTTATTGTGTGCAAGGTACATTGGATAAGATGCAAGCCAACACGATATACAACTGACTTGGATTTCCTCAACCCAGTGAAGGCCAGTCAGACTACAGAATACCAGCTAGAGTTCCAGCAACACAGCAATCATGAGCAAAGGGAGGCATATGTAGAAGATTATCCTTTCACTGAACCCCATGGGTAATGTTTTATATGTGCATTGGAACACACACTGCACCAGCTGAAGCTTCCATATAACTTTAAGGCTACCGTAGTTCCACACAGAAAGCATTGCAATACTTTAGGGCTGCCATATTTTGAAGAGCAAAGAAGAGAGAGAATGCTATGATGGCCATCAAAAGCAAATAAATGCAATTTGTCCCAAATTTTATCCCTGAAAAAAGAGGATGTGTCCTGGAAAAAGAGGACACATGGCAACTCTGATTATAACAATATACAGTGGTACCTCGGGTTAAGTACTTAATTCGTTCTGGAGGTCCGTTCTTAACCTGAAACTGTTCTTAACCTGAAGCACCACTTTAGCTAATGGGGCTTCCTGCTGCCGCTGCGCTGCCAGAGCATGATTTCTGTTCTCATCCTAAAGCAAAGTTCTTAACCCGAGGTAATATTTCTGGGTTGGTGGAGTCTGTAACCTAAAGCGTATGTAACCTGAAGCGTCTGTAACCCGAGGAACTACTGTATACATAACTAAAATTCAGTCCCTTTCTTCAGTCACAGATGGCAAATCATTTGAAAATGCTTTGGAAAACAAAGCACCAATCTTGGTCACCAGCACCACCTGAATGTGTAATGATAGTGCCCAATAATTTTTGGCAGCCACCATTATGCATTCTTGTTTCAGGGGGGGGATGGAATCCTCATGCACAACAGGCTTCTCATCTCCTCTCAGAATTGGTCAGATACCCTCCTAACAGGCTTTTCCATTTAGAAGCAGACTGAACTATAGCAAATGTTTTCGTTATTATGTTCTTTGTTTCCTGAAAGATAGAGGAAGTATCGCACATCTGGTTCTCACCATAACTATGTATGTGACCCACTAAATCCAATTTATTATTCCTCTGGCAGAAAAACCCAACAGCAAGTTGCTGTGAAAATTGCCTGTGCTCATTCAATCATATCCCCCGCTTCTTAGAGTTACACCCCCTTGCCTTGAAGAAATGCAATGTCTTTTTAATTGTTCCACTGCCTTGTTACAGCCTAAGTGTCACAATTTACTGGGTTTCAGGTTTACATCTCTGTATGGGAGATCATTTCCTCTTTCTTACAGCGGTGGGGGCAGAGAGGTCAATGATGCTTACACTGTGGTACTATTGTTTTTTTTTTAAAAAAAAATTATGCATACCTCTTGATCCACGCTGAATTTATATCAACATTATATTTTTGTAGGGTTGCCATATTTCAAAAAGTAACATTCCTGACACCCGCAAAATTGTTTGCGTGTTGAGTCCCACAATGCCACCCCCAAAAAAATTCACACTTCACACGCCATTTTTTCTTTAAGGTTTTTGGCATAATTTTGGCCACAACTTTATTCAAAATACAAAAAATGTGAGTGGTTGCTTAGGCATTGGTTATGACTATCTGTCCTTGCCCTCAAGGACAGAGCTGGCCCTTCCGGACACCAGCGGAAGCCAGCGTGGGAAACAAGTATTGGGTGAGAAAATGAAGCTGGGCAACAGTCCCTCACTTCTCACCCTCATGTTCCTGTGGGGCTTGCACGGCCCAAGTCCGATGCCAGGGACAAGGACGAAAAGAATGGCAAGCCCCTGGATTCCTTTAACGGAATTCCCTTTCCGCATCATTTGGAGGGGTAGGCACTTACCCCTCCAAGCACCAATTTAACCAATGCCTAACTGCCAACCTTACAAGTTGTGACGATTTGCTACACAGTAGGCAAAAACCAAATGGCACCAGCCAATCAGCCAAATGGCAAAATTCCTACCAGGCCCCGGCTCCAAGGCGGACGACCCCATGACAGGCATAGCAAGGTCAAGCGATCAAGAAAAAACACCCTATTAAAGGGAGGGAGGGCGGGTGATCCGATGCAAAACGGCCAAGAGGACGTCCAACGTCTGGCCCCTGTATTTAAAGACTCTGACCCCTCCTCCAAATTGGCTACAATCAAAACTCCCCAGCAATCCAATTTTAACCACTTAAAGGCTTGGGTTCCTCACCAAATCTGCACAGTAATGTGAGGGTGGCTTGTTTCCCCCAACCGCAACACGTGCTCTCTGTTAGGGAGAACACGCTTTAGCTTTTTAAAGGAACAAACTGGATTCTTGTGAATGTGGAAAGGAGCTTGACTTTGGGGTAGGAGGAGGAGAATTCCCTGCCACTGAATTGGAGCCCCCATCTCTAGATGCTGCCGGTGCCCGATGTCCCACAGGAAGAGAAGAGTTTGGATTTGATATCCCACTTTATCACTACCCGAAGGAGTCTCAAAGTGGCTAACATTCTCCTTTCCCTTCCTCCCCCACAACAAACACTCTGTGAGGTGAGAGGGGCTGAGAGACTTCAGAGAAGTGTGACTGACCCAAGGTCACCCAGCAGCTGCATGTGGAGGAGCGGAGATGCGAACCCAGTTCCCCAGATTGCAAGACTACCGCTCTTAACCACTACACCACACTGGCACAAGAAGGCCAACAAAGTCAATCCTATCAGAAAAAAAAGAAAACACAGTAATATGTGCACCCTGAGGACAAACATAGAGTAAGCTCGCCCAAGATATTTTGCTGCCTGAGGCGAAGGACAATATGGTGGCCTTTCTCCTATTCCACTTAGAGCAAGTATAGGGAAGCTTTGCCCCTCAGGATGTTTCTGAACTACAACTCCCATCATCCCCAGCAAGCATGGCCAATGGCCAGGAAAGATGTTGGTTGTAGTTAACATCTTCTGGAGGACCAAAGGTTCCTCGCACCTGACTCAGAGAAACTGATAAGGTTAGCTGTCAGGGGCTCAGGAGCAGAGGCACAGGGGAGAGAGGAAATGGAGAGCGAAGGGGAAGAATCTGAGGGCAGCGTAGGGGAGTATGAAAGTGACCCGAGAGATTCCATGAGCTTTTCCAGCGAATCAGAAGATTCCCAGAAGGGGGCACCGATGGCCAGGGCAAGGGGGGTCCCAGGGGGGACACACCAGAAGCAAGGGGCCAGCGGGGACTCCCAAAGCAGCAGCGGGAGATCAGGACCAGCTCCTCCACCAGAGCGTAGTGAGGGGGAAGAGTCACATGTATCAGGGCCAGCTTCTCCTCCAGCAGGGAGAGAAGATGAGTCAGGGCTGACCACGCCTCCATCGCAGAGTGAGGGAACGGAGGGAGAGTCAGGTGCAGCTAGCCTCCCCGAAGGGGGAAGCAGTGACAGGAGCAGTGTAACGGTCAGGAGGAAGGTGGCCGGCTGGGCGCGCGCGCCAAGTTCGAATGTACAGGCGCGCGGCACAGCAGGAAACCCGGATTGGGAACCAGGTCCTAAAGCCCGCCGGAGGGAGGGGGAGGACTCAGGAGACTCAGCGTCAGAAGAGTCTAGGAGAGGCGAGACCCCAGCGGACAGGCGGGCCCAGAGGAGAAGAGAGCAAAGGAAGAGGTGGAGCAAGGCTAGAGTCTTAAGCTGGTGTCTGGGGGGAGGAGATTCAGACGGAGCTTCAGCGGTCTAGAGTTTGAGACGTAGAGCTGCGCGCCGCGGCTTTGAAATCGAAACTGAACTTCAATAAAGACTTTTGTAAATAGTAACGCACTGGCGTTGGTCCTTTGTGAGCTGGGACCTAGGGCAGCTCTGACATTAGCCATTGAATATTACTTCAATGCCAGCCGTGGTACACCATTCTCTACCACATCAGAGGAGAGCAGGGTCGTCTTCGGAGGGCCTGTGTGGCGTATATCCTTTTCCCCTCCATTCCCCTCCAGCCTGCCATTTCCCTCTGCCTACCAGCTTCAGACGCCTAAGGCAGCTGCCTCACTCTGCCTAATGGTACGGCAATGCCTGACAATAAAGGAC